TCCCAATAGGTTTTTTTTAATACAAAAAATGCTGTGGGCGGGGGGGGGGGGGTGATATATTACTTGAACAATACACAATTATGTACAACCGTGTATATACTATATTATGTTACCTTGGATTAAACCAAAACACTTTAATAGTGTATAATATTTGTCTAATAATATCCTGTATAATATAATCCTTATTAATGTCGGATGAAAATAACTCCAAAAAGACTAAAACGCGTCACTTTGTTAAAGGATATATTTGGGTAGGTTCAATAAATATTAAATCAAATAATCAAATGATTTACTGCTAATTATGCTAATAAACCTAATACACGTATTTGCTGATATACCTCCTAATGTATGTGTTTACTTTGCTGAAATTTAAAAAAAAAGTACCCACTTTTTATATTATACCCAATTTTTTTTAGTAGTCATATTGGGCCATATACTTTTATGTTATTTCTATGGCCATAATATTATTATTGTGATGTGTTGCCACCATTGAATTTATTCATGCTTAACACACGGTGGTGTCTATACAAATAGTTGCCGGGTATGTACATGTACTTATAATAGTAATAATAATATTATTAAATTTAGATAATGATGGCGCTGAAATCATATACTCACACCAAGGCGAGTACTTAACTGTATAGTATTATAATGTAGTAATACAATCATAATAATATCATGTACTCTGATATATATATAATACTTGTGGTTCCTGTCCATTGAAATATATAGGTGTTACCGTTGATTTTATAATATATAATAATAATAATACATATATACTACAAAAGAACGGATTAACGTGATCCGAAAATTATGCGAAAAATTGAAATCTTATAAAAAACCAATGTGTGCAATGTGCATGTGTACACAAGACTTACCTGTAGGTATATAATAATAAAAATAATAATAATATGTACAGTTACCTATAGTATGTTATGATCCATCATAATTATTTATACAAATAATATAACACACAATAGAGGCCGTATAGAATAGTGTATTATGCGGTTCTCGATAACAATTTACAATATTGTACTTACATATATTATGTGTACATTGTAAGTATAGTAATGGGTTAGGTTAGTCGTTATTGCTTGTGGTCGGTGACATTTTTTAAAAAAATTGTTCCCACTTTTTTTTTTATAGTAGCTGTTACACCTATCTGTGTGTGTATTGTTCATGTATAATACAATATAGTCACCGGTATTATGGTAACCGCATTTCCTACAATATATACATGTAAAAAAAATTAAATAAAAAAAAAAAACAACAGAATTATAACCGAAAACGCGCGTAATGTAAACCTTGTTCGTTGTTGATTACAATACATATCATTATTGCGTACTTGAATTATTAAAACATAGGCACAAAGTTTAATATAATATAATTTTTTTAAAAAAAAAGTTTTGAAATTACAAACAATTTTAGCATCAAACGATATCAGTTTAATTTTAATTAAAAAAAAAAAATCCACTAAATTAGTTTTAGAAAAGCTTATCGGCGGATAATTTGACAATAAAATGTATTGCAATTTCTTCAGAAAAGATGTATTATTTTTAAATGCAATTAATTAAGCGTGTTTTTTTTTGCTAAGACTAAAAAGAAAAAGTCAATTTCAAAACTGTTAGATTAAACGTTTTTTTTTTTGTCGCCAGTTTAATATTGTATTATATTATAATCATTTTTTAATAAACATATTTTGATCATATTATATTTATATTGTGTCCTTTGAATACTTTGAAACAGGCCGTTGTTAGATTTCGAAATTTTGCTTGTAAGTATATCGTTTTTGTAAGCTAACACTGTAATAATATAAAACTGTCGTTCATATTGGGTTTGCTTGAGAAATATTTCCCGACTAAACTCAATTTATTTGTATTTGTTTTTTTTTCCTGAGTCTAAATTATTTAAACAACAACTGTAATTTAAAATAACAGCTAATAAATCCTGGCTGCGAAAAGGAATATTAAAATATTATTTTTGCTCTCTTCTTGTAAAAAAAAAAAGGTAGGCACAAGAACCGTTTGTGTTATAACGGTTGTTTTTTTTGTTATTGGTAATTTTTGTTTATTTGGATAGACAGTAGATGATAGATACATTAAAGGGCAGACTGGCTGTGGTTATTACCACTTGTTACCACCTGTACCTAGGTAGTGGTATAATATTATCTGATCGCGATTGGGCAGATATCCGGCAATAGGAGTTTTAAACAGCCATTTAAAATTAAAAAAAAAAAAAAACACCAATATAGAATTGGAAATGCTGTCATTAAGTAGAGTAGCCTGGTGGTTGCATACACAAAAACTACCGTGTGAAATCGTTAATGCGCCTAAGTATAATAGTATACACGACCTCGTCAATAATTCACATCCGCACAACAGAATGCAAGTGTATACCTGTATACAAGTCTATTATTATTACTATTATTCTTATTAGCAGCGAGTATACCTATTATATTATATATCTGATCTCCACCGCCTTCTTGTTGCGGTATTACGCGGCCGGTCGAAACGATTATCCGGTGCACGATGCCGGTAGTCTTTAAATTGATTAAAAAAAAACCCCATCAATAAGAGTCAGTAAGGAAGTCGACTTGGAATATTGCCAATTATTATATTTTATTGTATAAACATTGTAACGTTTCATGTAACACGGACAATTTACAATAATTATTACAACGATAATTACAATTTACAATAATTGAAAAAAATCCATAGATGACCGACGACGATTAAGTTTAAAAGCTATATGTTCGCATAATATAGCTTTATATTATTATAATACAAACATAGCGCCTACCATATAATATCTAAATTTAACCTTACCTATTTCATCCAAATCCAAATCCAAATCTAATAATCTTTTAAAGAATAATTACTTAAAAAAAAACACTTATTCAAACAATATGTATGAAAATTATTCGAATAAAAAAAACCGACTTAATTTTTCCCATGCCAAAAAGAACATTGGAATCACTAATATGTCTTATGGTGGTACTTATAAAAAGCCTACACTTCCCTTATCAGGAACCGTTATCAGCTATCTCTTATCACTAATCCTTTATCGGCTATATGAGCTTATCAGCTGTTTATTATCACGATCAGCCACAGATATGAACAGTAAACTAGACGGCATCTTTGTGGGAATTAGAACCTTATCACATGTTTATATGTAGCTGTTATCACTGCTTAATGCTTATAACAATGCTGAGTCAAGTCGATAGCACAGAATCACAGATATTATGTATATTATTTTACACACACATAAATACCACAAAATCTAACCTAATTTACCATTAATTCATCCGAATCTAAACCTACTCTAATTATCGAGTTTCGCGTCGGTTTCACGGCAAATTGGTCATCGCGCAAATGCCTATTTACTGAATCACCGGACTTTGCGTCCCACCTGTTGACGTTTGATATCAATTTGAAAGTAAAACGGGGCTTAGGTGTCCGGTCCTATCCCAAAGACCAACGCTGGAAAAATCCGGTTTGGTGCATTATTCATCGGTCGGTGCATGCGTGTATTCAAATTTTGACCTGGTAGGATTTTCGTGGTAAAAACACTACCGGTGGGCGTCAGGTGGTTGTTCTCATACTTTCCTCGTGGACAACATATCGGATATACCGGCTGTATGAGACGTATAGGAGGTATTGTGGGCACAACAAAACCGGAGAAAGTGTTCAGCGCGAAAACCGGTCACTGTCGCCTCCTGGGCTTAGTCGTCACCGCCGGTACAAGGTGGGTTGACCGACTAATACAGTTTTCGACGACCCGACACCGATGGATGCACGTTTTTAATTAAATCGGGTTAATCATTTCGGCTGTATAATCATATTATTTTTTTGATATTACATTCAAACGTCAATTAACCGGATCACACGACCGTCGACCTTCCAAACCGGCTCTGTAATCATTTTAAACGATAATAATATACTGCAATAATTATCCGATTGATTTCGCGTTTCAACCTTAATCAGCAGCTGGGCAAAGTAAAAAAACTCCCATCATCAGTGTTTTATATGAATATATACAATTGCATCTAGGTTGCCCAACCTAACTGGATATCCTGATTAATGTTTCTAAGCAATTCTATTAACATAAACTCTTGGAAACTATTTAACAGTGCTTTGGGAGTTGTATCGAGTACGAATTGGAAAGAACTGCACTATACTTTAGTTACACGATATTAGACAATTAAAACGTATTAAACAATCCATAAACGCCAATGACGTTTTCTTCTATAAACTAAAGCCAATCTTTATTGCGATTAGGTATATAGTTATGTATATTGTTTTTTAAGATAAGTTTGTACTTTCCCACAATTCTGATAGTGGTTTGTATTGATTTTATCAATTTTCAATAGAAATACCCGGATCTGGGTTAAGCGTTTCTAGTTATTATAAGTGTTGGTTAGGTGTTGACATTCAAGTGTAATAACTACTATTACTATTACTATAAACTCGGGCTCGTTCACGCCACCGAAACAATGGCCGCCCGTGTCAGCGATCGAGGATCAGTGATCTAAGACCTGTTCGGGCTAAATTAGTGACGGATATTTGTCGTTAACAACTCCCAAGAACTCGACGACGCCGTCTATGGCCGTGATATTGTTTAGATTCTACTTGTATGGTGTTATAGTAGGGCGTTTTGGCAGTTTTTACCACCTGTTTTCACCACCACCGCAAGCTATCACTGATAAGCCCCATTATCACTGATAACACTCTCTTATCAGTGATAACCTGCGGCGGCGGTGGTGATAAGAGAAGCTTATCAGTGATAAATCAATGATATCACTGATAAGGGAGTGTTATCAGTGAAAATGAGGCTTATCAGTGATAACCTGCGGTGGTGGTAGTGATAACAGGTTGTAATAAGGCCAAAACGCCTTACTGGTGTTGTATTTCTTTTTTTAGTCAACTCTGTAGTGTTGTATTTTGCTCCGCAGTCTTGGACGGACTTAACTAATCGTTATCATTATTTGTGTGTGATTGCAGATGACGATTGGATGGTCGTATTGCCTTCCGGCGAGGTGCGACCCGCGACAGAGCACCGCCGACAGAGAACCGCGGCCCGGTTGACTCACAGGCGGACCACCGGGTTACCGTGGAACCATCAGCCCGGGCCCACGCCTCCGGATGTGTCGGCGGACAGTGCCGAGCCCGCCGGTAGTAGGCCGGCGGCGGCTAAGAAAAAGACCAAATACAAGCGCATGTGGGACGAACCCGAGGGTCAAGCTTCGGAAATCCAAAACGTCACCACCAAACGGCCGGACCGGATCAAGACCAGGAGACGGCTGGTGCCGGCTTCCAGTACTACGGCCAGGACGGCGGTAGTGTTGCAGGAGGACCCGTATTTCGATTTCGGTAAAAAAATCAGGAACACTCCGTCGACGGCCGGAGTAAACGCCGTGGACCTGGAGACCAGGACCTCGGTGAAATCGCCCGTGATAGTCTCCACCACCACCACCACCGAAGAGGACCGGTCCTCGTCCAGGAGCGAAGCCCCGTCGGCGGCGTCCACCAGGACCAGGGGTTCGCAGCAGCAGACTCAATCCCGCAATCACAACAGCACTTCCCCGAGGCGACCCGAAAACCAGACGGCCGAATGCGTGTACCACAGGTACACCAGGAGGAACAACAAGTCACGGTCGCAGAGGGACGCAAGATGTTTGCCAGAGCCGGACGCCAGGACCACCCGGATACTGTCGACGGTGGTCACTTCGGTCTCGGTGAAGGGAACCGACCGGAAGAACGACACCGGCGACGACTTGTCGACCGCGTCCACCAGTGCCGAACCGCCAAAGTACCTGAGGAATCGCTACAGGAACATATCGTTGCCCGAATACCTGGAGATAACCAAAGTCAACCAGAGGCGGTTGAACGCGACCACCACGGCCTTGCCCCGGGCTACCGGTGCCGGTCAAGTGGAATCTTCGACCAACTCATCGTCGTCGTCGTCGTACGCTCCCCTGCAGCAGCAGTACTCGGAGGCCGAACAACAAACCGAAGAGTTGCCAGCCACTACCGGCGGACTGTCGACCGACAACCCTTCTTCGCCGCCTCCTACCGACCTGCAAGATTACATATATTTGATCAACGGCACGTCCGAGTCGAGTCCTGCCGACGACCCGAGCACTAGGAATCCGGCGGCGGCGGTCGAAGCCAGACAGAAGAGACCGTCGAAGAATCTCACCAGGGGCACCGCGGCCGAGCACGACGTCGGAGTGATCTATCCCGAGGGGCTGGCCACGTCCACGTATCTGCTGACGTTTTTGGCCATCGTCCCGTTGGTGTTGGTCATAGGGTTCGCGTTCAAATTGGCCATCCGCAGGAAGAAGAAAAAGGTGTTCGACAGCTCGGAGTACTCGTCCGAGTACAACCGCAGCCCTCTGGACTTCAACACCATGACCTCGTCGCCGATCACCACCAAACTTCCCAGGGTCCCGCAGCACATCGTCTGGGACGCCGAGAAAACGTGCGGTGTCGCGCCGACGATGCCCAGCAGCAACAGCCGGTGGGAATTCCCTCGGGAAAAGCTCAGGCTGCAGACGATCCTGGGCCAAGGCAACTTCGGTCAGGTGTGGAAAGCCGAAGCCGACGACATCAGCGGTCACGAAGGTCTCACGCGGCTGGTGGCCGTGAAAATGGTCAAAGAGAACGCGGCCACCAGGGAACGCGAAGACCTGATCGGCGAGCTGAGCATCATGCAACACCTGGGATCTCATCCCAACGTGGTCACGCTGCTCGGATGCTGCACGGAGAAAGGTACGGACGGCGTTTACAGGATATTATGTGGTCCCGTAGGAATGCACGTTTCAATTGTCCCGCGTTTGTTTCAGAACCGTATTTGCTGATCATGGAGTACGTCATGTACGGCAAACTGTTGGCTTTCCTCAGAGACCGGAGGACGCGTTCGCACTATTTCAATTTTAGCGATTCCACCGCGTCGCTCACGTCCAGGGACCTGACAATGTTCGCTTACTGCGTGGCCAGGGGAATGGACTTCTTGGGATCCAAGAAAGTAAGTCACACCGACCCGGGGTGTATCCGCCGTCCCCCAAGTACTAATCGTGTTTCCCCTTCACAGATCGTGCACAGGGATTTGGCGGCCAGGAACATCCTGGTGGATCACAACAAGCTGTGCAAGATTGCCGATTTCGGTATGTCCCGTAACGTCCGCGATACCAATCAGATCTACGAGCAGAGGCACACGAAGGTGAGTGTCCACTGTTATTGTTGCACACTGTGTGCCGGTTTGCTTTTTTTATAATAATTTGTGTGTTTTCTTTTTGTTAACAGGGCGCTTTACCCATACGGTGGATGGCGCCGGAATCGTTGCATTACAGCATATTCACATACAAGACTGACGTGTGGAGCTTCGGAGTGCTCATGTGGGAAATCGTCACTCTGGGTAAGGATAAAAACTATATATGGTATGAAAATTAGTCGAATAAAAGCACCGACTTATTATTTCCCTTGCAACAAGAACACTGCGTATCTCGAATTTGTCTTGCAGTACTTACGAGAAGGATCATTTTTCCTCTATCTACAATTGCCTACTCTTCCCTTAATTTGTCACTGAACCGTTATCGGCTATGTCTTATCATTAATCCTTTATCGGCTGTAATCAGCTTATCAGCGTCCGTAATCAGCTGTCTCTTATCACTATCGGCCACAGATATATAAATAATCAACAAAATCTCAGAGCCACTTTAAATTACCATCGAGTCACGGCCATCATCTTTGTGGGAACCTTGTCATGGTATGTTTATAACTGTTATCACTGAACCCAATGTGTGACCTAACCTAACTATTTACCTATTTCATCCAAATCTACACGTGTAGCCTAATTTTCCATCTAGACGGGATAGACTCGGTCGCACCTCGGTGTTGATTGTTGTTGCTGCTGCTGCTGCTTGGTGTGGTAGTCAATTTTTAAGTGGATTTTTTTTGTTGCGTTTTTCCACTCAGGTTCGACCCCGTACTGCACGATGGGCGCCAGGGAAGTGATGAGGCGAGTGCGCGACGGTTACAGACTGGACAAGCCGGCGCACTGCCGGTCAGAATTGTTCAGGGTGATCGCCAAGTGTTGGGCTGCCGACCCGTCGAAGAGACCCACGTTCGCCGAGCTCAAACAGGAACTCGGCGCTCTCCTGGAAAATCCCGAATTCGAGGGCAGCTACGTGGACCTGGAGAGTCTGGTGGACGAGTCGGACAGCACCAAGGACAGGCATTAAGGCAGCAGCAGAGAAGCGGTGTGTCTAAAGACCCACTGAACTGTATTGTACACGGGAGGCGCATAATGCATATTTTTCATATTATAATAAAAGTGACCCGCCGTTTTGAATCAGTTTTCTTATTTTTACTTACCGCGTCTAACGATTATTTAGCGATTTTCGACGACGGTTTCCGACTTCATATTGTTGTTATCAATTTTTTTTTTTAAACGCTGATTAAAGATAACACGGTGTTATCAGATTTTTATCATGGAATAAACGGTATGTTACACCGTTTTATCCACGACAGCACTCAAAATGGCGGCGGAATCCGTGTGACGCCATTTTATTTTCACCATGCGCTTTTCGTGTATATAGTAAGGTACTTGCTACTAAAAAAAATCGTCCATCGCCGGATATTGTGTGTAATTTTTTTTTTTTTATATCAATTTTGTACATAATATAATTATTATTAACATAACGACGATGGTTTCTTAAGTAGTTTTATACTTAAACACAACACAACAATAATAATATTGTAATGTATGTATGTTTTTTTTTTTGTCAATCGTTTTCGGTGTGTTTCTGGTCAAAACAACAAATAAAATAATATACCGAATTCGAGTTATCGTTTTTTTTTATAAATAAATAAATATATATATTTTTTTGATATACGATTTTTATTTAATGTCGTCTTGTTGTTATATTTTGTCATTAAAATTATTTATAATATATTATCTGACTTTTTCCACCCGAGTCTCGAATATATATAATATTCTATGTGTGTATTTAATTAAAATAAAAAATAAAATAAATTTTAAAATGCATTCGAGTTTATGTTTTTCCAACATCCAAAAACTTTACCAATATTTTGTATATTAGTACTGTGATAAAAAAAATACTTACATAAATATTTTCATTGCTATACCAAGAGTTGACATTAACAGCGTTAAACTGAATTTTATATAATGAACTTTTTGACATTTACTCGACAAAGGCCAAGTTTTAAATATACATATTGTAGAACATAGTACATTATTGCATTTAAACACCACCAAAGTTTTGAACTTCACTAGTTTAAACTAAAACAAATAGGATTGCAAAAACTGTGTACTTCATGTATAACTAAAAGTATAATCTAATCTACAAAATGTTGGCCACACTGAGTATTGATTATTTTTTTAACGGACTCCGCGGGGTTGGTAACACTGGTTTTATGTATTTGCTAAACGTAGGATAATAATATATTAGATTTATATACGAAATAAAGTTTGAAAGTATAATTGCAAACCGTTTGAATTATATTTTTAAAAATTAGTCGAATAATTAATAATAAAGTCACATTCGCACATTTCTAATATAATAATTTTATTATATAAAAAGTCAATCACAACATTATTTTACTTTTATTTCAAACATAATAATATTTAAAAATAATTCTAATAATTGATAATACAATAATAATAAACTACAATTATTATTATTACTTTTATTTTATTATTAATTTTTTTTTTTACTTAAATATTGTATTAAAATTATGTAAATAGCATGTAGATATAATGTAAATGTATACAAAATATAGTTTTTTTGCTTCAAGGTACATTATTAGATCAAATATGTAAAAAATTCAATACTTCCACTTCAAAATCAATAAAACCAACCTCTACAACGAATTAGTTCCAAATTTGAATGGGATATTTTTTAAAAACTGTACTACTGATAAAAATTAACAAACCCAAAAAATATCATAAACCCTTTCCTCAACAAGGGATAGACATTTTCATTATATTGTAAAATTACCATATATATATATATATATATATATATTATATTATGGATAACTAGATGGCAATAGATTTTCATAGACATACGGTCAACCCTAATCGTATCTACCTTTACGCTGAAAATTAATTTTTAAACTCAATTTTTTTACTACTACTCACTTGAGTGCAATACTTTCTTACTGGGCTTGGTTTAATAATAACCGTACACTGGTTTGAACGGTACACAACAGATGTGTACTGTCCACAGATTAAATTAAAATTATTTCCACCTTAAGAGTTTCCAGCTAATTTAGATAAACTTGAAAATACTGACAACGTGCACTTAATTTCATTGGACAAATTGCTAAAGATGCTAAGTACACAACTTGACACCCCAAACAAAGTGTCCAATCCGACTTGGACGATTGACGGGAACGCCCAATTTTGGGGGCGTTTACGGCACGTCCAAACATCATAATATTTGTTGTCATTTTGCTAATGTTTTGTTTGTCTTTTAAATGATTATTTTCAGCATTTTATAGTTCAACCTTGTTTTAATACACCGTCCAGTTGGACGATTGCGATTGTTTGCGACCTAACCGCGGGTGCTTGACGGAAAAACAAGCGTCTTACAACAATGGTGGCTGCGGGTGCGGCTGCGGCCGAGACGCGAAAAAGCACCTCGGTGGCCGTGTGGTTCGCGACACTGTACTGGGTGAGCAAGGTGACGGGCGCGTTGGTGGCCGACACGGTGAAATCGGCCGATCACCGCCGGTTGACGTCGCACGCGGCCAACAAACCCACGTGGTTGTGGATGCGAGCGTGGAACGCGACGTGCATGGCGGCCGTGGCGTACCGCGTGTACGCCGAAACGTGGGCCATGACCGCGCAGGCCGTCGGCCTGCCGGACGCTTCGTGTTACGACCTGGTATGCGGCGGCGTGTGGTGCGTGTACGCTTGCGCTTACTACTCGGTCGCGTGGCTCGACCGCATTTCGGAAGCGGCCACGTTGACGTTGGCCGTATGGTGGCGTCTGCGTTCCACGGTGGAGGGCCTGAACTCGGCGGCCGTCGCCGCGGACCGTCTGGCGTGCGACCGCGACCAGGACGACGATGGTGCCGTCGTAACGTCGTGGCGCGCTTACGTGCCGATGCTGTTGATCCCTTCCGTCCAGTTCGCCGTGTCGCTGCGGTCGCAGGTGTCGCGCGCGACCGGCACGTGGCGTCTGCTGATGAACGTCGCGACCGCCACGGCCAGTTGTGCGCCCGTCGTGTCGCACGGAATGGCCGTCGCCCAGCTGTTGGTGGCCGAAAACAACATGCGGTCCATCAACCGCCGCATTGTCGCGCACCTGGCCGCCCGCCGCCGCGGTCAGGGTGTCGCGGTCGACGTGGAACGCGACCGCAGCATCGTGACCCGTTTGGCGCGTCGCCACTGGCGGACCACGGAGTTGGTGACGGCCGACGAGACCGGCGTGTGCGGCGCTTACAGTTTCGACATGCTGATCGCGGTCATTTTGGCCGTCGTGCGCATCATTTACATTTCCATCGCGGTGCTGCACCAGCTCACGGACGACGGGGACGTCACGAAAACCTACCGAGCGCACATGGGTAGCTGGTCGTTCGGCCTGGCGGTGGTCACCCAGCTCGTCGCTTGGTTTGGCCAATTCGCGTGTCTGACGTTCACTTGCGACGGACTGGCCGCTCAAGTACTTTGATGTAGATTTGTTAACGAATATTGCACTTGCGACAGTCCGACCGAACGGTATAAAAATACACTAATAGTAACGAAACACTAATGACTGATCGCCTCTGTAAAACTGTAAACGACTGAATGCTTACGACTATACCCTTATCGTCTGTTTTTTTTTCATAATCAATAAACATTTAACAGCAAAATTAAACGAGCCCCTTCGTATGATTCGTATAGGCAACAACATTTGCATGCGGATCGTTGACATTTCAGTTTTTCCTTATTTAATTAGAGCGAGAAAGTATAAAACTAAATATATTTTTCAACTCCGATGCATGGCTAAGAAGGATTTTATGATTTCCTTTAGTCCTTCGATGAGCTATGTGAAATATAAACATCACATTATATAAGTAGGCAAACAACATGTTACCGTTTAAAATGGTAGTAGTTTTTTTTAGTTATAGAATAAGCCCAACCGATTCAAGCACTTCAGTTAGTACTCATAATAAGATCGACGGGACCTTTATGGGGTGTTAATTTATACATTTTTTTTCTTTTCATGTCTACAGTCGAGTGCCATGTACGACAACTTAAACGCCTTGTTATTAGACACTTTCAAACATCATAGGTTCACCGAGGGAACGCACTTGAATAGATTGCACGAAATCGAAGCGGTAAGTAAGCAACAAATACCCAAAGACCTAAAACTTAATTTTCAAATGGAGTTTATTATTAATCGAGTGGACCACCGTGAATGGTTTTCATTTTTCTAGGTTCAAGAATTTATGCGACAAGTGGTAACTCGAAAAGTAAACGTACACGCTTGTGCCGGATTGATTACTCTGAACTTGTCACTCATTACTACGGTATGCATTACAACATGCAATTAAAATGGTAAATTGTACAGCTATGATTATCCGTTTCAGATTTTTGGAGTCACCTTAACATACTTCATAGTGTTGCTTGAATTCGAATCGTCTCACAGCAGTACTTACATCCGCTATAGTAATATCACAGATTAGATGAATTATTAAAATTTATCCAATAAAACACGATGATAATCATTTATGTGTGTATTTATTTTGAGCGTTTAAAAAAATTATTAAACTACAATTTCTACTACTGCTCCTCGGCCGACATCTTTTTTTATTCCGTTCAATTGCAATGTTCACAAAGATAATACTTTAAATGATCTATGCGGATCTAAAATATTCTAAATCATTAATCTAATCCAACTGCGATCTACAGCTGCTGCGGCCGTCAGACGGTACGCTTATCACTTATCAGTCGTTGTTGATTGTGCTATAATCAGTGTCGCCATTGTTGTGGATTATAGGGAAAATTATGCTCATTATGTTGCTTCAACTGTATACTGTACACATTTGTTTGCAACACAGCTATTATCAGTAAACCGTGAAACAAACGCTTTGGATCTTTTTAACCACGATTTCTTCAAGTTATTAAACAATTGTATTAACTTTTAACTTTATTTTTATTACAAATTTTTAAAAAAAAGGTTAATTTAACGTCTTAAAAATTAATTTACCAATTTGTACTGAATTTGCTTGTGAACTCCAACTGTAAAAATGGCCGACGTCTTAGATTTGAACGCTGAAGACTTTGTTGAAGAAGATGATGGTAATTTATATAACTGAATACTTTTTGGTTACCTAATATATTTGCCAATCGGTCATTTAGATACTTGTAATAGTTCTTTATGATCGTTTATAAATAATACCTAACAATAATATTTCAACTTTTTAATAAAACAAACGAAATTTACACATTTTCTGTTTACATTATTGCTTGAGAATTTGAGTGAAGGCTTTTAAAATTATAAATTATTATAATACTTTAGTGTAAATCACCTGTGTGATTTGTTGCGATTCGAATTTTATTCTAGAAGAAAGAAGACAATCAACAGATTATATACCTAGGTTCAACATTTTATCATCAGATTTATTTATCGTTTTACAGAGACTATTTCTAAGCTAAAAGAGAAAGCCAGGAGAAAGAAAGGACGTGGTTTCGACGATAAAACAAAAAGAGATGATATTTCAAACGAAACTATGGAATTTGAAACTGTTCACGATCAAGCAGAAGATGATGGACCTGGCCCTCAAAGATGTAAGATTTGAAATTATAGGCTAGTCAACTATCGTACCGTTAATTTATTCTTTAATATTGTCGATGTCGTTTTAAGCTGTGGAAGGATGGATATTATTTATTTCTTCTCTACACGAAGAAGCACAAGAAGACGATTTACATGATAAATTCGCCGAATACGGAAAAATCAAGAACTTGCATTTGAATTTAGACCGTAGAACTGGTTTTTTGAAAGCAAGTTTTTTACAAATATGTTTATTTTTCATAATATTAATTTTTCTCTCTTTGTAGGGTTATGCTTTGGTAGAATATGAATCGTACAAAGAGGCTTCACGAGCTCGTGATGGACTTAACAGTACAGACATATTGGGACAACAAATAAGTGTCGATTGGTGTTTCGTCAAAGGACCGAAAAAGTATTGTTTGACAATTTGATTTTTTCCGACACGTATTAAAATTAATATTTTATTTTGCAGAGTGAAAAAGTCTAGAAGAAGGAACTATTGATGCGAAATTTGATTTAAATTTAACAAAATACAACCACAAATTAGTAGGCATGCTAAAATTAAGTCCTACATTTCTGTAATAATTTTTTTTTATCTAGTTGACTGTATGAATTAAAACAAAAACGTACATTAAAGAAAAGTACTTGTTTCGTGTATGTATAACAAAAACTGATCAATAAAATATTTGTCATATTTATGTATCTCTTTTTAAAAAAGGCAGGATTTGAGTTTTCACCTGAAAGGTACCATTAATTGTATGCTATGAAAAGTTGGGTATAATTTGTATGTTAAATAATAAGTATAAAAATAAAATATCTATTTAAAATTCCTATTCAATATTAGACATGTATCATTATTTTTTTATCCTGTGTGCATATACAATGCAGATTCACGTTCCCTGACTTAAATAATGTATCCATTATGGTGTTGTTAATGGGAAATACCGACATTTTTGTAATAATTTCTTCTCTTTTAATACTGTATAAAGTGTTTATTCAGACTAATAATTCTTATTGTCTAATCGAAATACTTTTACATATATTTGGCTTAACTCCTATTAGGTTTTTCCCCTCGTTGTTTCAATCTAGTATATAAGTGTATTTGGTCAAAGGCATAAACCGAGCTGGAGGTCTTTAATAAAAAAGGATATTCATTTAAACTTGCTACCTATGAAAAAATGTTTAGGATTTCATTGAAAAAAAAAAAAATATGTAGACACTGTAAATAGTATTTATTTTTAAAAGTAATATTGATAAATTATTTGTATTTCTCACATTTTAAACTGTAATATGATAATAAGTTAACGATCAGATATTTTATAGCAATTGGTAAAAATTCTTAAAGCTATAACACAAATGATTGTATTATATTATTGTACAACATGTAACAATACACGTATCTTGGAACGGGGTGCTTATGGCAAAATTATTGCAAGTAAATCCAGCACACTGGGTTCGAGCAGGTTCTTAGATGTTCTGTTGTAACTGAATATTAAAAAAAAAAAAAATGCTTTTTTGTGAATCCGTAGATGATAGGAATAATGTCAAATTCGGTTGAAAGCATTATGAAGGCAAAAATGTGTTTTTAATATTGTATTTCAGGGTGGATACGAACCTAATTATCGATTGTCTGTCTTTTCTAATATTTTATTACCGTCGTTGCCCAATAAGCAAATCAACAACATAATTGCAATTATTTTTCAGATACCTATTGACTGTGTATTAATTTTGTGGTGTTTTTTTTTCAATTTTGAAAAGAGGAAAGGTTGAATTGATAGCCTAGTACATTTTGGGAACTCATTGTTTTTGGGTTTTCCAATTCCGTCTACAACATCAGAAGCATAATATTTGGTTTTCCGGCTTCCCGTCATTTTCAAAATGATATAAACACGGCTAATATCGTTTGTTAACGTTAATTTTCGACACTATTTATTTAGTTTTATTATTTATTAGCTCAACTGTGTGTTACGATGTGTTAATTAAAAAAATAAAATATATATATATATTCACATCCCATAATAACAAACCATGAAGTTAGTCAAGTAAGTAATAAAACTTTTATTAATTATAAATATATTTCAAATCTTTCTTCAAAGTAAGATTGGTCTCTACTATTGTTTTGCCGGAATGAAAGACATTTTGCAGTTTAATTACATAAACTATTAATAAACCGTAATATTTTGTCTACTACCTGGCATAACGTTTTCTTTTAAGCAAAACTTATTAGATATTTATGATGTTCCGATAAATAATTACACAAAATTGTTTATGAAAAATTGTATTAGCAAAGATAAATATAGTTGACTTACAAGTGAAATACATTAAGTCAAGATTTTGTAGTTTCTAGTTTTTTGGTTTTTCCGGTGGTCTAAAATGTTGTAATCTTTAGACTAGAGAAACCCGTCAAGACATATCTTGATTATCGACTTGATGTATTTCACTTGTAAGCCAACGATATTTTATTGAACAGAGAGTCATTAACCTTCTAGCACTCGCGTGAGCGGAATTTACACAGTCTTTTTTGAAATAACGTATCGCGTCTAAATGCGTGAAACATTAGAAAAATACAAACCAAATCCCACATATATTGTGAGCGGTACAAATGTCGCCTTGACTTTTAAACACGCGAGCTCTCGATGGTTAATTCTTGTATTAGGATTATTACAATAATATTATCCAATACAAACGTACAACTGTTTTAAACTTATTGATAAGTTTATTTGATAATACCAAAATTGACTTTGGCATCACTACAGGTGATAAACAAAAATTGTCGAATAACACTAATAGTACCATTACGATGTGTTTTAGGTTTTTAATGAAACTCAGTCACGAAACGGTGACGTTAGAATTGAAAAATGGAACTACTGTGCACGGGACAATAACAGGTACGGTACACAATTTTTTTTTTATTCAATTTGTATTAATTCAGCTAGTTGTTACATACATTTTAATGGATATTTTAGGTGTTGACGTAGCTATGAATACTCATCTAAAAGCTGTGAAAATGACTGTAAGAAACCAACAGCCTATACATTATGAAACACTAAGTATTCGAGGAAACAATATTCGATACTACATTTTACCAGACTCGCTTACTCTCGAAACGCTTCTGGTCGATGATGCACCTAAATCACGCATGAGCCGCGGTTCACGAGGTGGCCATGGAGGTTTGTCATAACTATGAGATACCGTCTACCTAATACCTGCCTGTTTAAATGCTTTATTTTTAATATTCTTAAAAAATAATTGAAAATAATATTACTATTGAAAAGTAAAAAATTAACCTCTACTTGTAGGACCTGGAAGAGGCCGTGGACGTGGAGGACCCAGAGGTCGTGGGGGACGAGGAGGACCTCGAGGGGCCGGCGGACGGGGACGTGGAGCACCACCTCGACGTTAAAAGAAGAAAAAAACATCATCAGATCTATGCACGCGAATAATTTGTATAGCGATTCCATTTGTCATGATTACTCGATTTATCAGTATAGATTTAAGTTGTGATTACGGGAGCTTCCTTTAAAATACGTGTATTCGTATTGCAGAGGTATTTTTATGCATGTCAACTCGCAGTATTACTGACAATAAAAATAATTGTTCTTTACAAAAAAAATCATCAAATCGATTGCACCTTTATTATACCCAATTTGCGTTTTTCTCAAAAGGTCTATTGCCTCATTTGTGCAAAATGAGGCAGTACAAACATTTTTTTTTTTTTACACTTACCTTTTTATTATTCTCCTCTCTTAGTCAAGTTCATATTGTTTTATTAATAATCTCTTCAGCATAAGACTAACGATCTTGTAATGTTTAGCAGATTATTAAATTTGCTGATTTGTGTAAAAAAAAAATAAAAATACTTATGTAATTCAACGTTAGGATATCAAATGTATTCTCCTGTTCCACCTAATTTTAATATGAATTATTATTTAATGGGTAAACTATTTATAAAGGCAAACAGGTTTGATAGTAAATCTCGGTTAATCTAAATGTTTACAATGTGTCTCATACCTTGTTTCACCGGTCGACTTATGGATATTTTATTGGAAATGGCAAATTTACCGGTCTTTTAATTTTTCTATGAAACTTGTGTAACGTGTCTGTTTGGCTAGTTGGCTAGGTACTCTGTATCTTGACTATTGGTTATTTTCGAAGATCATCCATCCCTTATCTTGTCGTTTTTATTGAAAAAACGTGAAGGGACATTGCACGACGAAACCATCCAACCTAGCTTCTCGTCTTTCTTGAAAAGACTTGTTGGTCAACCTTCTACCTCATGGTGTTCTCAAGGGCGTTAATAAGCTACTAGTGGTCGTCATATTCTTATTCCACATAAAAAGGTGATATGAGCTACATTGTATTGTTATTGTTAAAAATATTTTGAATCGAGTTGGCTAAGCTATGCGTACAAGATGATTCGAAACAACTATTGAAGAAAAATTCATTTTCTGTTTATCTCACGTCGTATATATGTGTAATAACGTTAATCCTAACGATAATGATGAAAAACATTGCTGTAAAAATAATTTTCCTTGTACATTCATTATCTTAAATCAAGTTGATATTCATGCTTAAAAAAAATAATGTAATCATTGTAGAATAAAATTAATTTCATAAATCGTTTGTGAAAAAAAACGATAATACCTTTGACCTTAAAAAATATTGAAATCGCTTACCTTGCGCGTTAGATTAAATCAGTAGGTCAAGTTATATTGAAGTTTTAAGTTTATTTATGCATAATAAATGAAAATTGCATGTATATTATTATAAGTATAGTTATGAGTTCTTAAAATTCATAAAAAACAGGATCATATAATTAAGTCATAAAAATCCGTGGAAAATAGTAAAATATGATAATAGTGAAGGTCAATAAATGTATTATATCTAAAAGTATAAGTATTTGATCGATAAATGGACTGTTTCAACTTTCAATAACCAAAAATCGACAAATAATTAATAACTAGTTAACTGATTTGATTATTAACCAACATAAAATATACACAACTGTCTTTCTGAATAAAATAGCTGAGTTTCCTTCGATTTCATCAAACAAACCAGTCCAGTTTGACAAATAAAACAGAATTTGACAAAATTGTCTTGTTTTTATATTGTGTCTAGTGTTAAGTACCTACTTTTATTGTTTTGAAAGTTAAAACAATAAGATAATATTGAGTTTGCCTCTGTCTATAAACAATGGCCCACAATGTGTTATTCGGCGTGGGAATTAGTAACGTAGAACTTTATGCGTAAAATACAATGGGTTTTTTTTTTTAATTTGTTTGCTACCATATTAATTTTAATTTGCATTGAAAGTGTTTTCTCATGCTTATGTTATTTTCAAGAAAAAATTTGATATTTAGTTTAGAATTAGTATTTAAGGAATTACATTAATTTGCTGTAACATTGAAAAAAGTATTTGTTTAAAAAGACAATAGTCATAGATAACACATTGCTCAACACTTGGCCAACCACTTATGTACACTGCAAGTGTCTATTGGCTTTCAAGTTATCTGATAATTACACATGTGGTAATATAAATGCGAACATAGACATTTTGGTATTGTTACTTCAATCACATTATAATTTAAATTACCATTATTAGTAAGTATCACGTGAACTAGTTTTTTTTTTAAATTGAAAAAGTCCACAGGAAAAAATGGATTGTATCAAGCAAAGAATATGCTTTTCGTCGCCGACGGAATCGGATATTATATTAGACGGAGAAAACCCGAATGTAAGGTTTTTTTTAAATTAAGTTGTTGCATTTGTTTTGTCTTTATAAAACCATTACACGGTTTAGAGCTTCCAAGGTGTTCTTGTGTTTTTTGGCTCGGACAGCGTGGGAAATACATTGATATTGTGCATGAATCAAGATCGACAATTACAAACGTCCAGATCGATGATCTACTATCAAGATTACACCGGTCAAGAGTTCAGCTATGAAGGTAAAGCGAACACTATTTGCAATTAGGTACACCAAACTACTGTGGTGTTTAGGGTCGAAAATAGTCAATAATAATCATAATATAAGCACAATATTCAAATAATTGTTCTGGTTATTTTAATACTTGCTCAGACCTCAACCCTTGGCTAAAAAAAAACAAAAAAATTGTACATGACAAAATTGTATTAAATATAAAACAAATGGTTACGTTTTTTTTCTTATAACGAAAAACCACTTATTTGACAGTATCAAGGCATTCCCAATAGGGGTTACATCATTTTACATTAGGACTTCAAAAAAAAAAAAAACTACTTTGATTTTATAATTTTTATTTACTTTAGTTTTGTTATAAGAAGAAAAATACATAGAGTAATTAGTATATATTCATAATTTATATTAATGTATAGGTAATCAAATATTGTGAGTACATATCTTTTTATTTATAATTATGTAAAACGTTACACTATATAGTTATTTACTAGTGCACAAGTAAGTGTTTCAGCATCGAAGGATGGGAGGGGGGGGTTTGGCTTAGATTGAGAGTGAAAAAGAGTCTTGTATTGTCTTGGATTTGCTTTTAATGTCCGCATGTCTAATATTGAACATTTAAAGTTAGGTAAAATTATATAATTATAGTTTGTAATACCATACTAAATCGCATGAAATATTATTGAAAAAATGACAGGGAACGATTTTGAAATAAAATTACACCCAATTTTTGATAAGTGTAGACATTTTTTTTTTTTTTTAGAAAAAAACCAATGTCACGATTTTAGCAGCTGGAAAATGCCTAGTCTTCGGTTACAATGTTTGGTTCCTATGCAAAAGTGGAGAATCGTATTCAACGGTCGTCTCAGCATTAAGTATCCACGTTATATATATTTTATTATCTTAATAATTATTCCCCGTTCGAAAAAACTGATCAAGTACCTATTGTGTTGTTTAGGAATGAAGTACAACATAGTTGTCATTTCAAGATAAACTTAATGTAAGAATTTTTTTCAAAAATATAAACTAATGTATACAAATATATTCTCTAATTACATGTATGTATATTATGAGAGAAATAAAATGTAGTCATTAGGCTTCGAATTCAAAACCGTATTATCCTTTTAACCAAAAAGGACCTTTGAAACACATAGTTTTAGACAATACCAATTATTGACCTATATGATTACAGATGGAAGCCTCTCGGGTTTCCCGTTTATTGCAACAAATTGAATGAATTTTCCAAAGAGGAAATCGATGTACAGTGTCAAGACGCGTAAGTAAACACACTGGTTTCGAACAATAACTGACATTTTTGAAGAAACACCGAATTGCTTTTAATTTTGTAGAATTTTTGATAGTTGATCAATGATATTATGTAGTGTCTTCATTGGAACAATGCCGTGACTACTATAGGGGTGGTTAGGTGTCTGGGCAACCCTCTTTGGTCCCTTGGCCACCCTCTTGTTTGAAAAGAAAAAAATATATTATTTGCCTAACCGACAAGTATAAAAATATGAATTTAAAGTTAAAATTAACTGTCTAAAATTGTTTTTTTCAAGTCAACGACCGGTTTGGACAACTCTTGGAGACAAGAGTTGCCATCCTGGGAAAATGGTTATGGTGCGGTAGTTTACCTTCTGCAATAATTACATTTATTTCACCTTGATTAAATTTGCATTGTTTAAATTATTAATTAGTTTTTTTTTTACTATTTGAATAATTCATTTTAAATTAAACTAAATTATTTGTAATACTTTAATGAAATAAATTTAAATTAGTTGATATTATTAGTTTACCAAATTTCAAATGTATGTTTTAATTAGTTTTTTAGACCACTGTTGTACTTAACGCCACGTCATTATTATAGCCTACTTCCAGAAAGTGTACTTTGTAACTTAAGGATACCTATATACTGTATGTTATACCTGAAATATTGCCTAATTATTGTATTGGAGTTATATTTACTCCACCGGTTTATTATGACTTACTAAAATGTAGATATAAAACGCACGTGATACAAATGTTTCTAAAAAAACATGGAAGTTGACTTTAAAAATAAATTAACCCCAAAAACTTACATTTCGACGGGCAACTTGATAATTTTATAAATTAATAAAAAATATACCCCTAACCCCTCTAAGTAGGGAGATTATTCAAAAAAACTATTTCAAATCAGCTACCCCAAAACCGTATAATTATTTTTAATTCCTTGTCCTTATATTAATTATAAAATGATGTATTGTTGTAAGACAAATTTAGATTATTATAATTAAGTTATAGGTATAAGATTGTGTATATTTTCAATGGGAGATATTGTTTTCGGATTCCTGACCACTATGGCACCCCCCCCCCACCTCTATCTATCCTCTTCAAAAATGTTTGACTGTTAAAAAAAAATTTAGTTACAGTAAAATACTTTTCGAGCGCATTACAATATAATAATTATTTTTGGTTTAGGGTGAACACTTTGTTAGGATTTGACCAGTTCGGTGTTCTCTCTGGGACTTTGGTAGTCGACGGAGAAAGTAAAACTATTGATTTGGATGCTTTAAAGCTGAGACGTTGGGACATGTCTGTTGGAGATTCTGTGCTGGCCGGTCGCTTGAACAACAACAGCAAAACGTTCTCGTTACAAAAATCGAAAAGGTCTTATTGCTCGCTTTAGGGGGGTTCCATTGGTGCGATTAGACGGTAATAATTTTTTTAAAAAAAATTTTTTTTAGATTAAACTGCTGTCGCGGTCATTTAAAATCAGCCACTAGTCACGAGTACTTAAAGGAAGCATGCGACATGGAAATTACAGACGGACAGTTTGGCGAGTCTTCACTTATTATGCAGCACGGTGGTAAATACAAAAACAAAAACAAAATTGATCAATATTCATCTGGCGTACAGTGTATCAATTATTAACTAATGAATTTTTTTTCAATTTAATTTAATATCCATACTCGTTATAGACGATTTAAGTATTGATATGCGCCTAGCAGGTTCGACGGCGGTGTCGTTGGAAAACGTATCGGTAATAACCGGATTCGAAAATGGACTCGGAGGAATACTTTTGTACTTTGGGTATATAACATCTACAGTACTATTTCTTTGCTATTTTATTGGGGCAAGTGTGCATAACGACAAGTCATGTGCATTTTACCGAATGAGAAAAGGTCAAAAAACGCTAAAAATATCGTCTCAGAGAAATTATTATCAAGTTCATATTGTGTGTATATTTGTAGTCTACCGAATCGACACACCCACACAGTTCATAAAATACTCTGGAATACATTTATTTGCATATATATATATATATATATCCATTTACATTAAACGTGCTGTTTAATATGTATTATGCATACGGTTACACAGGCAGACGGTTGTCTGTAATGTAGTATATAATATTTCTGTTGGATATCGTATAAATATTATTGGCGTGAAACCAGCAAATTATATTTTTTTTTTTTTTGCAATCCGTTTAACATTCTACTTGGCATTTTTTTTTTTTTAGAAATAGATCACAACGAGAAATAGATCCAATAACGGCGGATCCGCAAGTATTGTCCGTCGGTTTAACGGTCAACTTGAATTCGGCGACATGTATGCATTCGGATGTAGTTGGAAATAAAGCAAAATCTTTAGCAATATTAAAGCAAACCGTTGTGGCCGCACGTCGGACAGCTGATAATGTAGCGATTTTGTAGACACATGAAAACAATACTTGCACACAGAGACTGACTTTGGGTTTATTTTTTTTTTTTTTTTGGTCAAAGATCAGCGTACCCGATGGTATATGCATTACAACGGCCGCCATGAGAGCACATTTGGATGAGAACAAAGTATTGCTAGACTCTATACGGTACGCTATCGAGCTGACAAAGCACTGTGACGACGTTAAGAAACTATTAGACTGCTGCGACGGGTACGCTATTGTTAAAAAGGCGGGTTAAGAGGGCGTGGCACCGCCCATTTTTAAGGAGTAAAGTATAGGAAATACAAATTACAAAATCTTAATTTTAAGGTTAAACTGTGATGTGTAATTATTCGTTCAATACCCGCGGCTCTATTTTGGTAGTTAATTTATTTTTTGGACTATCACAGCATCCTCGAAAGCGATTTAAAAATGTTTTTTCATCTCAACTTGTTTAAGCAGACTGAAAATAACTCGCTTCATTTTGGATTTAGAGTAAAAGCACCCGTTATAAAATTAAAAGACAACAATATTTCGGAGGGCAAGACGGTGCGTTTTTTTCGTTATTCCAAGTATAACGCTCAATACATAGTTTGGAAATAACGACTATTTAAACATTTTTAAATGACTGCTGTAACTTTTCAAAAAATTAATTTTTTTTTAAAAACGCACCTCCGGATTATTGTTTTCTTTTAATTTTAACAACGGGTGCTTTTACTCTAAAACCAAAATCAAGCGAGTTATTTTACAGTCTGCTTGAACATGTTTTTACCACTGAAAATCACCGGCGCAACGCCCTCCCAAAAGGTAAACGATGATGGCGTGTTAACTGCGATATTTGTAAAAAAAAATTACCAGGTTAAGAGACCAATGGCTGTCGTCCGAGGTTAACCGTGAATTGTCGGACGAAATTTCTTTGAGTATAACTGAAAATCAACCCTATGCAGTGCGGTCGTCCGGCACGTTCGAAGACGGCGACGTGGCATCTTCGGCTGGCCAATATACCACAAAGTTAGGTTCCGTTGCTTTGGGCTCGATAATATCCGACGTGCTCGAGTGTTGGGCTTCTAATTTTTCTGCTCACGCTCTGATCTACAGAAAGTAGGAATTGGAGTACACACTAGGTGGTACACGGTGGTGTAAGTACTAAACGTGTCGTTTTTAAAACAGAAACAACGGACAGCCCTTGATGTGCGACATGGCGGTAATAGTGCAACGGCTGGTCGACGCCGAATCTGCAGGGGTGTTGTTCACCCGAGATCCAATGACGGGCGATCCCGAGCGAATAGTCATCACATCGTGCACGGGCCTCGGTGATGTAATATCGCAATGTTTAATACACAGGGCGTGCTGTAGGCCGTAGAGACACGTCTGACGGCAGTCAAGCCCTACCGTAGAGGGCTTAGGGTACTTGACAACCTACAGCCGTTCGAAACCCCACCGTTCTTTTTTTCGAAACGCCCCGGATTAACCGTGTTGATGGTATTATATATGTCAGGACGTTGCTTCGGGAACAGTCACACCGGACACTGTGGTCATATCCCGGCAAAGTATTGCTCGGGTCTCAGATCCGGACGTGGAAAACTCTAGTGCAAGCCGCACGAGTGCGGCGAAATTGAGGTCCTTTGAAAATGTAATGGTCGAGTTGTCCAAGTTTTGCGTCCGGTTAGAAGAGATACTCAACTCGCCGGTAGACGTCGAATGGGCTGTGATACGGGTATGTGATCTGGGCCGTGGCACCGGGGTAAACGTGTATTGTTAATAATAATCGTTCCTAATCGTATTCGAAGGACCGCATTTATCTCGTTCAATGCAGACCGATCACGTCTATATTCGCTTGGCAGACCAGTGAAATTGTACGCGAGTTTGATTCTCCGTTTGCCAGCGATGACGTTACAATGTTCTACAACAGCAGGTAATTGTTGTCTTTTGACTTGCACACATTTTGCTTGGCCCATAACGAACAGAACTGGAACTTCTCGAGTTCCCAGCTCCGTTCATCACACTGATCTCTGTAATATTACGGTTACAGAGATGGGTTTCCTAACGCGGTCCACCCGTTGTCGTTGACCTTGGATTTTTTTTCGCTGTTTCCACTCTTAAAGTTGACGGAAGGCGATCCAACAGATTTTTACCGCAGTAAACAGCTGTTGTACACGAGTTTCAATTGTTGTCTCAATGTTTGTCAAGTAGGTATTTATAATCGTCCAGCGTTGGACGTCTATTTCTCAAATTTATAATCCATAGTTTGGGCACTACATATTAATAACACTTTAATATTTTAGATATTTCAAGATTTAGAACCCGGCAGTATGTACTCGGATGTAATACAATACGCCGTAGCCGGTAAACTGTTCTTAACAGACGATGTTTGGAATAAAATTCTATTGAAAAATACCACTAGTATTGTAAAAATGTTGAAAAAGTCTATTTTAACATTGCAGGTAATTTTGATTAATTACAGGCATCTAGTAGTAGTGTATTGTTGAGTAAGGATCATTCTCCCTTATCAGTGATCCTCGAAGATGATCCTCCCTTATCAAAAATAGATAAGAGGATTGTTATCAGTGATAAGGATTTTTCGGCATAAAAAAAATGGTTGATTGTGAGTATCCATGTGGTATGATAATTATATAATTTTCACAACGAATAAAAACCGTGCCATTCGACATATATCCCGTTTTTCTTACTATCACTGATAACAATCATCCATACCACATTGATACTCACAATCAACCATTTTTTTATGCCAAAAAATCTGTATCACTGATAACAATCCTCCTATCTATTTTGATAAGGGAGGATGATCCTTGTCCAACAATACACTACTTCTAGTACCAATATTTACCCCGAATGATTTATGTATATAGACATTATATAACGTTAAATCGCGATTGGATGATGTACAAGAAAAGGTTTTCAATATGGACGTAGAAGAGTTGATCAAAAACGCCAATACATCATCAGAAATGTTAGATAGTATAAGCATGGTTTTAACACTCTTGGAAGAGGTAATAGTTGTTGTATTTAGATTTACTGGAATAATTATTATACATTTATTTTAACGAAACGTTACATCATCAAGGTTACGCTTTGTCACACAGCTTCGAGTTCAAATAACATCGTTTTTTATACGTTGATTTTAGTATTCGGTTTTGGAATAACCAAAGGTAAGATATTTTATAACATCCAATTAGTAGGTATGCATAAAATTAGATTTCAGTTATAATATTGTATGCAATGCAAACAGATTCAACCGAACAATGTCTGACGAAATTGGCGTCGTTAGTAGATAACTCTCAAGTGATTTCGGCGTTGATACTTAAAGATTTACAGGTACGGTATTAAATTAAACTGATCAGAAACAAGGCAAAACTCGGTTTTAAAATCGACAATCTTATGTTGGCCAGGGTGTAGCTAGCGTGTTGTCCGGGAAAATAGACAAGCAAATATTTTGTAACTTGCCCGTACAGCAGTGTCATTCTTGGTTAAAGGATAACTGCGAAGAAGGCTATCGGCTCGTGGAAGAATTCATAAGAAAATACGGCCACCGCGGTGTTCAAGAGGTTGTATTTGTATCTAAACGACGATAGTAAAAATAATTTCCAAAAAAAAAAAATTGAATTTGCTTCAGTTGGATTTAGGTTCCGAAACATGGTCGACCGATCCTGACCGTTTGTATTGTTGTCTTCGGACGTTGCTATTAATCGAAAACCACCAACCGAGAATCGAGGAAACCCAAAATCCACAGCCCCACAAAGATAACGTGCCCGGAGGTTTTTTTAGAAAGTAAAAAATTCCGCTGTTGTTTTCTGAATTATTAGTAAACCTGTGGTCGGTTGGCGTTTCGTCCCTAGGTATTGCTCGAGCTACTTGTTGACCAGATACCAAACGAGTATCTTGTGCAGAGAACAGTCTAAAGATTTGTTGGTTTCGACGACACACAAGTTGCGTTTGTGCTATTTGAAACTCGGTCGAATGCTGGTGGACGAGGGAAAAATGACGGATCCTAAATTATTGTTTTTCATGTCCCAACACGAACTGCAGACGGTTTGTAAACACCGCCGTTGCTTTGCCGTCGTTCACAGGCAAGTTGCGTAGGCAAATAGATCGTTTCGATAGGATAACAATATGTAAAATTCAAGTTTATTATTATTATATTTTTGCAACCACGTGTTGTATGCGTACGGCGTTTTAGAGCGATGAAAAGAAAACAAATATGGCCCACATTGTCTTCGCTGCAGTTCGAAGACGTCAACATCGGGACACCAGTGTGTAAACAACTAGACTCGAGCTCGAAGGTTTCACATGTTGTGTTTTTACATTATTTTTCACTGTCCCGACACAACGGCGAATAAAATATTATTGTTATTGCCGCTGTTCGCAGTCGTCGCCCGCGTTGCGTTCGAAACGTTTCGCGGGTTTTCCCATCTATCCCGGACGGGTGGTGAACCGGGCTTGTGTCCTGGAACACATCGGGCAAGCCGGCAACTTGAGGTCGGGAGACGTACTGTTTGTCAAGTCCATCGACGTGGCTTGGTCCGTTTATTTCCCAATCATTTCCGGTCTGGCGACCGAAATCGGAGGTGTCATATCTCACGGTCAGTGTGTGTGTGTGTGTGTGTGTGTGTGCAATGACAATTTGTCGAGTATATTATACTAATATTGGTTGAATTCAATATTTTATACAGGAGCTGTCGTGGCCAGGGAATACGGGTTGCCTTGTCTCATAGGAGTGTCCGACATTACACGTTACATTAAAACGGGTAGGCGTCACCGATGAACCGAGAGCTATTAAGATTTCGCATCTCAAAACCACCTTATATTATGTATTTCAGGCGATATGGTAGTCTTGGACTCTGAAAACGGATTCGTACAATTGCACGACGGCAAATAAACACCACGCTGTAATCGGATCACACAATACATAATATATTCTATATATATATATTAATATTATAAATAACTATAAGAATATAAAAAAAAAAAAAAAAACGACTGGGAAATAAAAGTATAAAGTAAAGATTATATTAATAATAATAATTATTACACCTAGCTATTTACAAAGGTAATAAGTGTTACCACCGCGTGATCGTATGGCTTAATAAAAACCGCGTTAAGTTTTCAAATTTTTCATTATCCAAGGCATAAACGACGTTACTCGAGTGTACACTCCGGGGAATTGTCCTTTGCCGCAGCCTATTCCCCAACTGACAATGCCGACCTGGGTCCATTTGTTTTCGTTGAGCATCAGAGGACCGCCGCTGTCTCCCTGTTCGGGATCAAACGAGATGGGCATTTTATACAGATTTTCTTATCTGAAATTCTTTGGGAAATTACCGAGTTCACTTACGCTACAAGAGTCTTTGGCTGCTTTCCCGGCACACAAGAAATGCTCTACTATTCCACCGGGAGCTGCCGAACCGTATCTGCTTTTACACTCTTGATTAGTCCAAACTGGTACGCTGACTTTTTGCAAAACTGCCGGTTGTGGACCGCCTAAAAATATATGATAAAATCAAAGACATATTATCTATCTAATTTATTCATCCTTCGCCGCTTACTCTCTCTCAGACTACCCCAGCCGATGACCGTGGCCTGTTGTCCGGAGTACAAGGCTTTGCTCTGCTGAGGTAAACATATTGGATGCACTTCTCTGGAGAACGTCACCGGTTTGTCGAGCGTGAGGATTGCAATATCGTTGTACTAAAAGTAAACGAACAATCAATAAGTACAAGTCATAAAAAAAAAAAATAGTAAGTATCATATTATCTTGGTACGCACCAAAGTCATTTGGTTGAATCCTTTGTGCCGGACTACCCTTTTGATTCGTCTCTCCAAGTGTTTTACATCAGATTTGCTTTTGATGTTATAATCACCGAGATTAGCCGACAGTCTGGCCACGTCCCACGAACTCATGCTGTAATTATTAAATTTTAAGCTATAATTAAGTATATGTGTGCACATGAAGACCAAAAACTCACTGGGCAACGCAATGAGCAGCGGTTAGGATATGAGAATCGTCAATTAAGGATCCGCCGCAAAAATGTCTCCCGGAATTGAAAATAGCAACCTTAACAGATGTGTTTCTATTAAACAGGTTTGTTGTGTGTATGTAATTATTTTTTTTATCCATACCTTTACTGTACTAATATCTATACTTTTATGTACCATACGAAAAAAGTTGATTCATTTTAAACGTTTTAATATTAAATACTTTAAATCGTTTACATCTTCACTCGAGAAGTAATTGATATCAGCCCGCCGGCCAATTCTTAAAATTATACCACATAGTTACATTTGTACCGAATCTTTAAACCCGAAAGATGTAAACATGTTTTGGAGGCCCAAGGTAAAAAAATAAAACAGAGTCAATATTGTGTATGCGATTTACACAGTGCATTGCACTTCAGTCTGGTGTTATGTTAATTGAATGGTGTTTTTTTTGTCTACCATTGTATCCGAACCCGACTTTTACAGTCTACAGATGGATGAAAAAATTCAAAAAGTTCACCTTTTATCTCTCTCCTTGGTATATGATTTTTTTAAGAAATGAACTTACTATCCAAGGCCATTCTCCGGGCTCTGCGTTTTGCCCGCCGACAATTCTCTCCTGATCTTGTTGGTAACCAATAACGTTTTTTATACCACATTCGTATTGTCCGTTGCCTGCATTCTCCGTGCTTGGGGGGGTCACGTTCGGTTTGTTCGAAGGAGTCGTCGACGAAACGTTGGCATTGGCTACTTCGTCCGTGTTTATATGCTGCGGATGTTGCTGCGGCGGCCATCCCGGGAACTGAGGACTTGGCGGTGTGTGAGTGGGATGAGCGGGATGGGTGGGATGAGTCGGGAGCGGCGGTGGCCAATTGGAAGGCGGCATCGAGAAAGACGGGAACGTTCCGTCGCTGTTGGGAAGTCCCGGACTTAAGATGCCAGGTTGAGTGCAGCATACGCCGTATGACTGAGGATTTTGAAAAAAAAAAAAAAAAACAATATAGAAATATTCCAAAACGGCGTGTAAGCGAGCGATGCGTGCATACGGTATTGTACTATTCACCTGTTGATGGTCGAGGCTTATGTAAGTGCAAGCGTCGTACATTCCCATCACCCAGGATTCCCAGTAATGCAGGTTCGGTAACTTGATGTACGGGTAACACGAACGGAAGTTAACGCACTTCCCTAGGGCACCTCTGCCCGTCAAACAAGGTCCAGGAACTATTGCCCATTGGGTCTGCCGTTTTGTTCTGTGCTGGTCAACACTGGTGCTGGTCTGCTGTGTGTTTTGGTCGTCCGGCACCACTTCGTCCGGGACGTTTTCTGCCGGCGACGCTGAAGAATAATATGGCAAATTTGCATTAAAAAAAAAAAAGTTCAAAAAATAGTCAAATAGTCAGAATATGACAAGATATTTTAACGCTATAAGTGTGCAGTGTACACACATAGGACGATAGGTTTTTTTCGAATAATTAAGTGACCCAACCGTTGCTTCTTAATAGGATCTAATTTATACAAGACCGTCGAATGATTTACCGTCTCTGTACTTACTGATTTAGCGTTGGTAAACAACGTGTAACAGTTATAAACGAAATGAGTAAAAAAAAAAAAATATTACCGTTAGTAGGCATAATAGTAATATAAAATATGGTCATCAAACAAAGAACCGACCGACGCGTATGTCATTTGAAATGGGCGACTCCTTACGGTTTTTTTTTTTTGGCTCCTTGTTAATAAAAATACAAATTATATCTGAAATGAGAAAAAAAAATCTGCGCAGTAGGTTCGTCGCTTCCTACAGGTTATGCAAACTATATCAATATCGTTATTAACAATATTTTACATACATTTAATCTCGCTCGGAACGTATATTATTCATTATGATAAACGTGTACAGGTATACAATAATAAGTATTTATACGTCCTTGGTGTGCCCAATTCGGTGTTTTTTTTTACATTAAACCGTCCGACAAACTGGTCGTTTGCAAATATTATATTATCGGCGATTAAAAGTTAAAACGACCGTCTTGGGTCAATATACTCTAATATTATGTACACGACCTGTGACCACGATGTACCAAGTAGGTATGGTGTTTGTTTGATGACCGGATCGGATGTAAATTGTACTAATGTACCATACAAATGTGTGGATATTATTAACATAATGTATGAATATTTTAATTTTTTTTTTTGGGGTTATTTAACTACGCAAAAAAATATACTAAACTATATTAAACAATACATCTACTTGCATATCAAATTTTATTCAAGAGACCCCTAATTAGTATTTCCAATTCACACCCAAAAAGACAAGTATATTATTATAAAAACTATATTTTCATATAGTCAGTGACGATATCTTAAAATGTGATCCATGTATGATTAGCAGTAATCACAAACATTTTTAGTAAATTAATTAATATGGACAAATGCCCCTCCCCCTCCCCAAAGAACAATTCCCAAACTAGAAAAAAATACCCATAATAACACTCTGCTAAGAAATCTCTAGGCTCCAACTACAAAGTATAAAGATACAGAGAAGCTTAATAATTGAAAAAAAAAATTTACATTGATACATAGACCCAATAGCACAGATTAGGTTTTATTAATTTATGCTAATATACTAAAGAAGTGTGTTAACTCTGTAACCACGGCTTAATAATTTTCCAAAAATCTCAACAAATTGCCATACATTTTCAGGTTACAAGTCATTAATTCCTTTTTTCATCAGAACAGGAAAAGACGAGGAGATTTTTAAGAAGATAGCGAGAGAACTTTGTGTTTCATAAAAAATTAATTGGACTAGATTATATGAAAAGAAAATGCCATTATAATAAATACATAGTTATACATTTCATGGTTTATATAGTTGTCTAGAAGTGGGATTATTGAATATTATATACTTTAATTAAAATTAGAAGATAAAAGAAAAATAAATAAACTCCCAGTCTTTTATTTTTTTTTTCAGTCAATTTTCACTATTTCCAACTTAATTATAATAACACAAGTAAGCATTATTAAACACCAAAAAAAATTTACATGAAACATAGTGAATAGTTTTTAAAATGAAACTATCGTCAATGTAATAAAATATTTTAAGTAAAATATAGCCTTGAATAACCTTGAATAATTATACAATATATATAATCTAAACTTAAACATTCTGTATAAAATGTAATTTATATTTATTTTAATAAAAAAAAAAAAATTAACTGTACAAATTAGTTCTTCGTGCAATTAAAAAACAAATATATTTAGAATATATACATTCAATATTACACTTGGTCATTTTTGTTTTTTGTTTTTTTTTTAAATTTAAATCACAAGCTTGGCTGAAATCAGGTGGATGAGGTTCATTTCAATAAGGTAAGGTACCTAGTGTAAACAATTATTCTGTTTTTACTTGTAATTCGTTTTTAGTTATATTCTCTGCATAATTTATAGCAGAGTTATTTAGATTGGTTATCGCATATTTATTTATGTAAAATGTGGACATTGTAAATGATTGATGGTAATTATTTAAATTTCTTAAGTGTTAATCATTATTGTCACTAGCCATCGAGTTCAAACCCTCCAAAGCCAAAGCCGTTACTCAAACTACACACTAACAATACATTGTATGTATTATTCGATTCATTAAAATATAGTTAAGTAGTAATCTTTCACACGTGTAGTTTCTGCGTGAAGGTTCACATAAGAAAAGTATTAGGTAGTTGCCAAATATTATTATTTTTTTTTTTACTTTTGGTTTTAATGTATTTTTCGTACTTGTACGTTGCTTGTTTGTCCGTTTGATTGGTTATTTTTTATTATACATTCATCTGGGTGTGGTTGAAAATATATAATATATAATTTTTTTTTCCTATCTAACTCTGAAGTTAATTTACGTGCCACAAAGTCTTTCATTACATTATTGTGATCAGCATTGTTCGAAATCGTGCGTTTTACCTACCAAAATGACAGTTATATACGTGGGCGTCCAGTAGATCACTTGTATAATATTTGACTATGAATTACAGTGAGTAGGTATGTAAGTATGTTTGCCTCGACAGAGAATATTTGTTTTTAGACTTTAGAATTGAAATACCTTCTAAAACGACAAAAACCCTATACCTACCTTTTTGTATAAAGGTAGCTAGTTGGGATGGCAAAAATGGAGAACATTTGTTGTGAACTTAACAGAATTAGAAAAAAATATCTGTGATAAGTAGCTTTTTTAAAAAAAATAAGATCAGAAAAATTGTACAACAAGAGTAAAAGAGATTTAATGATCATTTTTAATCTACTCAATGCGACTATAGCGGGATCTAGACGGTTAACTATTGTAATCCAAGGCGAATGTTTTTGTTTTTAATTTTTTTCTGCTTTTATATTTTAAATTTAAATTACTTGCCTGCTTGGTTGGTCGGAAGGAGAGGATTTAAGGAAGTTAAATCAAAGCAATATAAGTCGGCATGAGCGATTGAGGGTTTCTGTGCTCATATGTGAAACAATATCCAGGTGGTAAAACAATAGATAAACAATTTTAAAAACAAACGGCGGTTTTCAAGTAACTTATATAAAAACGCTTTAAACAACTAAACTGCATTTATGTTCAATTTTCAAATAAGGGATGCGAATATTTTTTTTAATGATGGAGTGTATTATGAGGATTAAAATGTAATGATATTTTCTTTTCTCTCTTCACTTGGACGGTGTGTGACAGCGTACCTGTGACTGTCTTAAGAATACCTGTACACTGTTTATTGGATTATAAATTATAATAACATGTTGTAGGTACAGTTATATATATGGCTCACGACTTACCCACGTGTTCAACTGGTGTTTCAATGGCATTTCGTTTTTGGCATCAATTTGTAAGTGCGTCGTAGCTATTTCAATTTGTACAGGTAACTCTTTTTTTTTTTTTTAATCATAAAACCATAGTCAAGTCACAAACATACAAGCCATTAGTCATAGTGTTTCCAGCTAAGAAATATAATTATTTTAAAAGCGCGATTATTCCACAACTATTCGAGAGATCAAAGTACCGGAAATGTCGCTACGATGACACATACATAAATCCTTCGAACCGGAAAATCTAAGACAACTGCACGAAATTCGGAATAATACAATTCATTTAACGTTGAAGTGTCAACAAATATAAATAGGTAAGTATCGCTAAATTTGCATTAATAATTAAAATAATAGCGAACGAAATGTATATAAGACTTGCAAATATTCTGAACGTCTCGAAAATTGTCAATTTTTTTACCAACTATAATATTATATTTCTCCCCAATCATATTTTTACTGTCATTATGATACACATTAATGTAAATCTCATTTTATAAAAAGTAACAAAATAAACCATAACATATTCCGATTTGTTTGGCAATAATTACTGTCTTCTATATATTTTCTTCGCTTTATCTCAACGATTTTTGTCAAGTCTTATAAATAATTATTATTTATTTTTATTAAGTAAGAAGTGCTATAGTTAATTCATATATGTGTCGGTATATTAACTGAAATACAATTTACGAGTATTTTATTTAAATTAAAAGTTTGTATATACAACATTGGAAACCCGTTTTATTGCCAAAAATGATTTAAACTGCATAATATTCGTATTCCAAAGCCGTTTTAAACGGTATACGTCGTTATTTTTAGAATATTCCAACGATTTAGGCGAATTGTTTGGCTAAAAATAAATAACTTATTAAAAATGAGTATTTGTAATAATTTATGCCAATGGATTTAGCCCCCTCCAGCAATCGCCAATCGATTTTTAAAACATTAGCAATGTAACATAATTAATATAATATGTAAAGTGATGGAAATTATAGGTAGGTTTTTAAAATTTTTTAATTAGAATGATATATATATATATATATATATATTTTATCCAAAAATTAAGTAGGTATTAAGTAGGTACAAACCATGACATCAATAATTCATGAGTATTATAAAAACTAGCATTAACTGTGAAATTTGCATAATATTTTTAGATTGTGTTGTGCTTAGTATTTAGTAATGGGACAAAACAAATTAAAATACTTTTATATGTGCTAAGTGTAAAATGCGTTGTTCTAATGGTATTTTTTTGCAAAATGTGTTCTTTGCACTATATAGAAATAAGTTTCTACCTACTTGTTCATTTTCATTTTGCTTCTCAATGAAAATTCAAATACAATCCTTACAATGTTACAATATGGAATAAAATTAGGAATTTAAGATATTAGATTTTGATTACATAATCGTCGAAAAATCGGTTAGTTAAAAAAAAAGTACACAATGCAGGGGGTGGCTATAGTAGTTTTAATGTGTTGCAAAAAGTAGGACTAAAGTCAGTCTGCCAAGATAGAAAAAAATAATTATCGCTCAATATATTGTGGTGATTAGATAACAGTATTTTGAAAAAATATTGTTTTTAAATTCGATAAAATATATTAAATTTATTATTGTTAATTTGTATATAAGTTATATTTGAGTTTTAGCTATTTATTTGTATTATTTAATAACAATGCCTAGTTGTTTTATTTGTTCAACAATAAAGACTTTTTTTTCCTTTATGTGGTCATACTGGTTTTAGTCGTACTTTTTACTTCGCTCTTGCATACAAGCTAGTATATGTTAGTTCATCTCTTTATATTATTACTCTATATGACACAATGTCTCGAATATTTTTTAAAACGTGACGGTCATTTTTTGTAAATTTTAAATTCATCATCGCCAGTGATCAGTCTTATTGCTACAACCACAATCAAAGGGGATTAAAAGAGCCCAGAAACGGGTTTTATTGACATCCCGTGTATATCTAGTGATATTGAATAATATATATTTAATCGGTATGCTCTCGATGATTTAATACCAGACGACGATGGAATTATTAATGCTCTTAGCATTAGGAGGTACCAACGAGTAATAAAGTCATAGTTCTTAGACCGCACGAAGGAATGTTCATAAATATTCTACAAAATATATAATGATTCCTTTTTTTTTTTTTTTTTTAATCGAACCGATATTATTATCATTGTGTCTGACTAATAAACGATTTGCCGAATAAAAAAATATTAGCTAGTGTCGTTTTTCGATTTAGCATTCCTGTTCTGGGTCATATATACTTGAAAACACAATAAAATGTCAACTGAAAGTTCAATAAACCTTAATAACGCGTCCGCTCTAGCATGCTTGTTGGCGGACTCGCAAATTTTAAATTAACATATGAAATAAAAAGTAATAATAATAATAAAATCAGATCTACAGATTGGCAAAAATTAAAATATATTATCCCACGAGGTTTTAAACGGTTTTTTTCTTATACGGTATATTAAACTAGATAAACTATTTACTGCGTAAAACTATCTATACAAGTTTTAATACATCTAGCAAACTAAAAAAACCTTGGACGTTGAATTCATTATAGTGAAATAATTATAATCATAACAAACGGTGTATTATATTATTATTAACGATTTCAATGGTTTGTATATTTTGTAATTACACATTCGAATCACAGACTAATACAACGTTACTGGAAATCGTGCACAAAGTATTTTTTCGTCTAACACACATCTTTTTATACAGTGTCGTTGTGATTTGAGTTATAAAACGGTAGTAGAAAAAAGTTATTAAAAATTAGTAAATGATTTCAATCGTACAAACGAGTTGTACTTCCATCGATTAACTTTTTTTTTTTACACACGAATAAAATATTATGAACACAACTATTTTTTAATATACAATTTACCTAATTAATAAAAATAAAAATTATGTACAAAGTAATTCTAAACACAACACGCCCTGTACAAAGTTCAACGAATGTAAGTACCACAGAATAGATGAAAGCAGAAGGGTAGCCAAACAATGTAAACAAACAAGTGGCGGCCATGTTCATACAACTAAAAATAATAATGCATAGATATAATTTATTATGGAGCATATTTAGAAAATGGCCGACGCGTTTTTGTGTGATAAGGATCTTTACCGTGTTAACTGTTATCAGTGTCCGGGTCTGGTATTACTAATGAGTGTTTTTCGTTCTAGGTAAAAAACGGCGATTAAATTCCCCGAACAAAATCACATTAAAAAAAAAACAATTAATTACACTCTTTTAAGATGTCTGTGCAGGTTTTTTTTTTGGAAATCCGAAGAACTCTAACGAGTAAGTAGTATTGCAGACGAAGTCGTATAATATTATGGATTTACATTATGTAAACAAACGGACGCGTGGTAGCTGTCATTGAACCTGTGCGCCATGAGCCGGCCTTGGCATCGAACAAAATATGACAATGTACGCGGTATCAGATAAGTCATTTCGTACAGTAATTTATATTTCTTGCTGGTTTTCTTAATCGTCTCTCGTTCCAGTCCTTTAGTGTTAGTAATAATTATTCTGCGCTCGTGTGGTCAATATCGTTGGTATATTTATGCGTAAAAAATAAATAAAAAAACCTATTCAATTTGTGGTCGAATTCCGGCGTAGTTGATGATAAAAAATATATATTATATATTTTATATTTGCACGTTCAACAGCACATTAAAAATATTATTATGTCTACTACGGTTGTCGCCAATTTAAAGATTAATCAAATAAATCCAGACACGTTTGTTGAATAATAATTAAAGGTAGAGTACCAAACAATAATTAAAGGCTTTAATACTTTTTTTTTTATTCTGAACAAAGAGAATTTTTCGATTATTAATGTGATAATTATAATATATTCAAATTAATTATTACAAACACTAAGTTTATCTATGTATCTACTCAATACATTTTTGTACTTAGGTATATATTGTCTCTTGAATATTGCTCAAATTAACATAGGAAAATACAGTAATATAAAGGTATTGCTAAAAAAAAAACTATAGTCTATACCTACGCTTTGTCTCAACTAACAACTAAATATGTTGTAGATATGAAAAGATTTACAATTTTTGGTATAGTTTAGTATAGGAAATTTATGTTTCTTTTATATAGATGTTTAAATATGCTCGGAAATCCAATTCTCAAAAAACATTGGTATCGTTTGGTATTTAGCAGTGTGAATACTTGATAAAAAATAGTAAGTTCTAATACAGTTTTAACTTGCAATGTCTTTGTTGTTGAGAGAATTAATTTGTATTGATTTTTTTTTTTTTGAATTATTACATAATAACCGTAGAGTGTCAGAATAAAAATAAAGCTAAACCTGTTTCGGGGAGTGTTATTTGTATTTGTATTTTTTTTACAAATTTATGTATAAATTATTATTGTTATACATAGTTATTAAATAGTTTACAATACTGGTTATAAAAAAAATATATATATATTATACAGATACATCTACTTTAACCAATGACAAATTATGGAGTGCAAAACACTTTTTTTACATAGATTGTTCATTGCTGATATTTTGAAATAATGGACTATAATGGAAGTATATTGGAATCGTGTAAAATCATTATTAGCCTATTTTGGTTTTTGTATAACTTAAAAAATACTAGATAAACTTCATATATTCAACTAAAACGTTTACATATTTTTCTGTCGATAATCCCAAAATACTTATTGTCGCATGTACATAATAATATCAAACTAAATATTATTATTCAATTTTTTTTGGAAATCAACAAATGACAGTAATTCGTAAGCAGTGTACACATACTATGTCGGTTTTAACTGATTATCAATCGTGAATTGACTACAAGTAAAACGATTTTAAACAAAAAAATATAGTCAAAAACATTAATTGGACGCTATGGCGGAAAGATGAAAGAAATTGTGGTTGACGACGTTTAATTTACACACAATTATTGTATACTATACTCGACAAACGTGTGTTACTGATAGTGGAATTATTACAATAGAATTTAATATTTATTATTGTTCTTACCTTCCAAGATCACCGCGTCGTCGGTGTGTATTTCTCTATAATTCTGAAAACCTATGGCGGTGGTGGTGGTCAACCGGGACGCCCATAAAAAACGGATTAACAACGCCGGCAAGAGCTTCATTTTGGAAATAAAAAAAGGCAGAAACCAAACGAAAACTACAACAACATGTATCAATTGTTATTACAATACAAATCGAACGGTCGTGGTCGTCATGCGTGGCGGCGTTGGCGAGTAGTTGTGCCCGCGGTAAACGGATTGCACATGAACCGGCTGTGGCCGGCAAACAGTACCTTACTACTGACCGATGACCAGACACGCTCCTCGCCATTTATTTCAAATCTTCTCGGTCTCGTGAGATTGCGGTTTCTTCTTCTTCTTCTTCTTCTTCTGCTGCTGTGTGTGTGTGTGTACGGCCAATGGTTCCCAAATCCGCGATGGACGGTGGTGCGCCAATAATTCTGAAACCAAAGCCAAAAGTCAGTCGGCTCGATTGCGCATGTCTTATGTGGTGTGTTTTTATTTTGTGTTATTACTTACAGGGTGATTCATTAAGGATAAGGACACTAATTTTATATATTAATATTTTGAACAATATTTTTTGGTACACGTTGTACACATATTTTCCAATATTTTCCTATATTTTCATCACCAATCCTTGAAGGGGCCGATAAGGGGGATTTTAGTTTTTTTTTTTTTTTTTAAATGGCAACGTATGTTTTTAATTACATACATTTGTAGACAAAAAATAAAAAAATATTTTACCGTTTGAATTTTCGTTTATTTGTTCATTAGCTATGACTTTGTTGAGATACTAGATTTTCTCTTAATAATTATCATGCTTCTTCGGTTTTCCAAAAGACATGGTTCATATTTATGTTCGCATTGTCCATTTGGCGATAACACTCTAACAAAAAAAAAGTCACTGGTATAAAAGACTTTGAAATAATCATAGACAAACACGGTTCTTATCTACAGAGTACCTATTCCAACACAGGTACACAGGTTGGTTTTACATACCCACTTTATCAAATTATTTTTATGCGTGTAATAAAACTACTCGTCTTTGTAGTAACGATTGAAAATATTAACAAATACAGTAAAATAATCAAATTTTTATAAAGTCATAACAAATGAACAAATAAATGAAAATTCAAACGGTAAAATATTTTTTTATTTTTTGTCTACAAATGTATGTAATTAAAAACATATGTTGCCATTTCAAAAATCCCCCTTATTGGCCTTCCAGGATTGGTGATAAAAATTTTCAAAATATTGAAAAATATAGTACAATGTGTACCAGAAAACGAGTGTCTTATCCTTAATGAATCACCCTGTATATTGTATATAACTTGGATATTTCGAAAAAGTAGAATGGTATTTGAAAAATTTTGTCATTTCGGTTCTATTGTTAAATCGTATCATAATAGACTATCATCGCCAATCGTTGAGTTTCTATTACCTACTACACTTCGACACTACTCTGTGTGTGTGTGTGATATGTTTTTTGAAGTAATAAAAAAATAACCAACGTTTAAAATTTGAGCGGCCCAAAAAAAGAGAAAAAAATACAGCCAGGACCAATATTAAGTTTTTTACACAAATATAATTGCACATTATTTAACACATCCGAGCTCGGTTCAAGTGCAATAATAATGTATGTTTGATACGATTAACTGTAACAGTATATTATTGTTATTATTAAATAAAAACAAAAGCCCGGCGGATATTTGGTTGTCATGGAACCGAGTTTAATTATTAACACAGATAGAAAGTGTATATTGTCCTAATTTTGATTCTTAAACGACTTAATATCTTAATTATCGAATATAAGATATTAGAAAGTACACGGGTGGTTGTATAATCGCTTCGAGGGCATCCTTCTTCTATTTTATAATTAGTCATCATCGTGTGATGACTTAAGTATTAATGTATATTTATTTACACATAAATCGAAACATAAGATGATGTTTTCCTAAAGGAAAATGTGCGTTTTACAGTGGAGTTTTCATCAACGTTTTTACAATAGTACAAGCTAATAATCGAACACGGGACAATGTAGGACAATTAGTAAAAATAATACATTTCATATAGTTTTAACCACGATGACCACTGTGGTCAGTCGTTAAATTTAATTACGGTGGTTGTATAATGTAATATCATAAATATTGAAAGTAGTTAATTAATAGGTATGAACATATACCATATAGGTTGTAACGATGGAAAGTACTTAAAACTATATTGCTGGAAATTGTACACATTTGTCGGCCTTAACGTCTATAGTGGTGTGAGCCCTTAATAAGTATCTATATATATATATATATAAGTACATTTTCCTTGTTTATGCACACATAAATAGAAACAAGTATGTTTAAACAATCCCAGTTAGGATGTACTTTAGTAAACTTAAGTAGATTTTACCTATTTTTCGATAATTTTTTATTTTTATTTAATGGTCCACAGTAAACATGATCTAAGCGTCCAAGTTTATTCAATCATTTACCAGAAATGTTTTATTCAGACTGATTTTTTTTTTACCCAGTATTTGAAGACTGTAAATGGTTCATCACCGTGGATATGCAATTTCATAACAGTGACCATTGACAATTACATTTTGTTCATTAAATAATAGGTAACCATATTAAAATATCAGTTTTTATATTAATAGGTATACAACAATTTTTAAAAAAAAATGTAATGTATATACATGTAATTCTATAACTTTCGGTTGCTATTTGGTACTTTATTATTATACTATTATTATTTTAGTACCGACTATTTATTATATTTTAATTATTGTAAAACATAACTAAATTTACAGACAATCGAGGTGCACCAGATAATGCGCCTGTTATTTTGCTCAGAAATCTTAACCATCAGCCATCACGATAATCAGGTTAGCCCACTAAAAAACAAAATTATTCCCAGACGATTTCAATATAACTGATGTATACATGGCAATAATGGAATTGGTGAGAAATTTACAGTTAAATGAAACCTTAAGAGGTCTATTATCGAGATATGCAATTCCCAAGATTTTAGATGAATGGTTTTCAGCAAAATATGATTTCTCTGTTTAACACGATTAGTTTGTAATATGTTTATTTAATATTATATTCTACTATATTTTCATGTTTTATTATTTTTTTTTCATCAACTCTAAACGTTAGCGAAGCCAAAATTTATATTACTTAATACAACAACTACAACAAATATTGATTGAGATGATTGACAGTATGATATATTCTGATAGCTTAACTGATTTTTAATTTTATTATTATTATTTTAATTTTATTATCAGCTTGCAATGACTTTGTAATGATGTCGTTGATAGATTTTGTGCGTTTCCGTCTGCAAGTGGCATTATCGAATTTACGGCGTTGCGTATAGGCAAACAGCAATGCCAGGGTGTTTAGAAGTCAGTGTACGTCACGGCGCGACGATCTTAATTGAGGCATCTTTGTCGCGAATGTTAACAATTAATGTACCTATTGCTATATATTTAAGTTGCTGAAAGTCAAGTTGACACAGTTGTTGAAATTCAGGTCGGAAAATTGGACTGAAGTTCAAGACTAGTGTTTATACCAATATTTATATTATAACATATTATATTACATTTCAAATACGGCATTTGTGTTATGATAACTTTACAAAATTAGTTTGGTTAATGAAAAAGCCAAGTTTACATTAAAATAATATAATAATATAATATGATAAAAAACATACAAATAAATTACAAATATACGTACCAGAATTTCCTGTGCAGAACGCCGTATTAGAAAGATATTTTAAATATTATAATTAGTTAATATGATCAACATTTTATTATAAATAAAATATTATCATATCCGTGTGGAATTTCAGTCAAGCGATAAACACAGAAAGAACGCGTTTGAACTCCGTTTTAATTTGTCTAATATAATATAGTTTTAAAAATAATTATTTATTTTAACAAGATACCCGAATACATGAATGTACCAGAATTGCCTATACAAAACGCCGTTGTGAAAATTATGTATAATATTTTAATAGTTAATATTATAATAAAAAAATTAATATAATTAAAACATTATCATATCCGTGTGGAATTTTAGTGTCATGATAAACACTAAAATAACTTGTTTTTATTTTAGAATCTATATTATTTTCTTGAATTTAAAAAAGAAGTAAGTATGATAATTGGAATGAAACAAAATTTGATATTGATATATTTAAATCAAGATTATAACTCATTTTTTAATTTCTTTTGTGCACTATTTATATATATATATATATATATAAGTGTTTACAACTATTAATATGTGTAAAAAATATGTAGCTACAAAAGTACACTATTTTTTTTTTATAAATGAATACAAATATATGAGTGTATTTAAAAAGTCACACGTTTTTACTCATTCAAACTAGATCTCAAGCATATACTTAGAATTATTTTTTAATTTCATGACATTTTGGTTTGTACACAGTATACATTTTTAACACTACCAAAGTAATAGTGTGTTTTACAGTTATAATTTTTTTTTTTTAATAATTAATAAATAAAGTTTAATCACTAATATTGTTTTCAAACTAACAAAATGAATATGAATTCTAATAACAAAATGTAAATATAGTAAAGTTATGAATATTTAAAATTTATTTCCTCCGTTTCTAATTTTTTTTTACAGAATTTCAATTTGAGTACAGTGGCCTTTAAAACGTATAAATTGAAGTGAAATATTTGACAAATGGTTAAAATGTATTAACTTATGCGAGATAATTTTCATTTCATCCCCACTGTCCTCACACATGTCGTACATCTATATAATATGTTATTGTATAATTTGTATTATACAAAAATGCACATGCACACCTGCGTGCAAAAAACATTGAAAAATGTCATATTATATGATTTTGGGGGTCGCTGAATTCAAAATTTAAATCATCCACCTAAAAAAAAGGGCCGTTATACTACTTTTTTAATATAAATTAGTACTACTCATCACAACAAAAAAAGAAGATTAAGATTTGAACGCAATTTTGTTAACAAGTCTATGTTGCACCTACTTGAAAATATAGAAGACATATTATTGTGTATGTAAAAAAACATTTTTTTTTGATTATTAGCGTTATTGGTTTTTATAAAATATTAAAATGAAATAAACTTGTTTTAAAAGAACAATGCAATTTTGTCACTGCAATCACTGCTGGACCAGTGTTGCCAACGCTAACATTGCTAACAAATTTACTATGGTACTGTCGTGCAAGCAAATTTAAATATCCAAACAAGAAAAGTCCAAACACTTTGGAAACACAATTAATAAAACAAGACATGACCGAAATTTAACATGTTTTCCGTATAAAAATAAAGTAAAACTATACAAATTGAATTTGTAAAATGTATCTTAATAAACTTATTTTCAACAATTGCATGCTCATCCCAAAATAAACGGGGTCTGCTATTTAAAAATCTAAGTACATAAGGAATATGGTTATACATAGAACGCTATTTAATGCGCTTCTATATTTAATGCGCTAAAAATACTGGTTTATTGATTATCGAAACAAGTGTTTCTTTTTTTAACTTTATTTGTTTTATCATTTTGTTTTGTGTGTTCAAATGTTCGAACTGCGTTACAATAATTATAGCGAATAACTATTTTGTACGTTAGGACACTCAAATTATTATTTTATTAAATTGTCCCTGTGTAAACATTTATAATTTTCATTAACAGTATATTAATTTTGATTTTATGGAAAATGTATATTAAAACTATTTTCTTAGTTGCAACAAATTAAAAAAAATGAATGATGAATTAAACTAATATATTATGAGATGGGAAATTATGAACACAATAATGGAAAATGTGTCAACTAAAACAAAAGACATAGGTATTATAATTTTAGTGGTCTTAATACAAATTTGTATTTGCTATTATACTTGTAACAATATCATGCAATCAATTTTAATTATGCAAACAAGAAAAGTCCAAACAGTGTCATAATATACATTTTTGATGTAATAATGTTATATTTTTATGTAAACAAAATGACACATAACACAAATAATGTCTGATAGAATATTATCTTTAAAAGTTACATTTTCTTATATAGTATAAAGTATTTTTGCGCAACTTTATTATTATTCTACATAAACATACAAAACAAGTTTTCCAAAACGACTGTTGCTAATCTGTTGAATTACCCAAGAAATTGAAAACAAATTTCAGAGCTAATTTGGGCAGTAGAAATAAAAACACTTAATCTAACTGTTAAAATTTATCTATGAAACTAATAAAAAATTATTCAAATACATATTAATAGTAACACTACCTACATACATAGATCATTAAAATTATAATTGAATAGCTTCAACAGTACAACATATTGTTATATGTTACTTCATCCCTTAAGACCATGCAGCAATGGACCAATGCATGTCTAATCGTTATTATTTTTATTTCTTCCATTTGAATTTCTAGTTAAATTACTATCTATAATCAATGGTGAAATCTTATGTTTACCACATAGGTCATTTTCTTACATTATATAAAGTATTTTTACATAATTTTTTGTATAGTTTCATTATTGTGTTTTACGTGGAAAACTTGTTTGACTGTTGCAATGTTAAAAATTACACACAAATGTGGGTATCATATTACACTTTTATGTTTTTACATATTCAACAAGTTACCTTAATTGCTTGATTGCGTTGTCCATTAAAGATTAGACTTATTATGAAAAATGTAATTATTTTTCTTTAGACGTGTCACAATGTCGTGAGAACCGCATTAAACCGTCCAGACAAATTGGTGGATGGTATAACAATTGAATCAACACGAAGAAGCATATTTATTTGTTGTAAACACAATAAAAACAAATAGAGCATTGCACGTGATCTAAGAAAATATGACGTACGAAGAGGCGCAAATCTAACTATAAAAAGACAACCCAAACGCTTAAAATCTAAGTGTTTTTTGAGCTTCTATGAGTTAAGTTTAACGAACACACAAAGGTAAGTAAAATTTAAAATTATTCTTTGCGAGACAGTGGTACGTTTTGCTTGAAGTTTTAATGGTCATTTTTTTTTTTTTTTTTGGTATTTCCAATATAAAACCATTAAAACTCAAGTTAACATATTTATATATATATATGTATTTATTTTTTCAAAACATACTTATAATTTGGCATTTCCCTTAAAAACTTTTTGAGCGAGGAAAGGTGGTAGCTTAAATAATTTTAAAAGCAATTAAGTTAAATTTCTCGGGAAATTATTTTTGATTTTATATTTGTATGAAACGTTACCATTTGAAATTGTGAAAGTATCCAATTTTTTGGTTTTTTGGTATTATTTAAAGCGCTATCAACTTTTGAAATTTTTTTTATCGTACACCTATTATTTTTGAAAGTTTTGAATTAAAAAATAATTGAATAGAAATGTTGACTGGTCGATACGATTAGGATTGTTCAGTTTTTAAATTTAAAGCGAATCAATCACACCTTTTTTTTATGTAAAAGTAATTATATTATACTGGTTATGGACAAGTCATAATTTACCAAACATTATGACTTGTCGATAACCAGTATGATACTATTACTTTTACAATGAAATTTTTTTAATTTTTTTTTATATTAATTACAAATATTTTAAGTTAAATTTTATGAAAAGAAGTAAGTAAAACATTTAAAGTTATTCTTAGTAAGAAAATTATATAATATGAAAAAGATCCCGTTTAAATTCTCTAGACATGGTTTTAAACGGATTTAGGTGAAGTTAGAAACAAATAAAATCCAATATGGAATGCTCTTTGCTGAGTAAATATAAATATTTTTTATTGAAATCATATAATTCCTCGACAACTCCGGCCATTGACTTGACTACAATGATTTAGTGAAGTCAAATAAAGTAAAAAAAAAATTGAAAAAAAAACCAATTATTACAATGAGGTTTACAATATGTGATTTATATTTGACAGTGTTTAAAACAGTATTGTTCTGTAATATTTATTTTTCCATTAGGTGATAATGCATCATTTGCTTTTTAAAATTAATAATTTATTACCAGTATGCTAACCAATATATTTGGTCGATGACATAATTATATTTATCAAAAATATACCGTTTTTATTGTTTTAGGTATCTACGATGAAGTCAAACATTTTATTTGCAGTATATTTTTCCGGTCTTATTGTAAGTAAATATAGATTTTGGACAAAACTATTTCATTGATCATAATTATTTTGGTCCTTTCTTTTATACCTACCACAAAATATATATTGTTTTTCGTACATTTTTGCATAGAAAAATTCATAATTTATATTATGGACAATTTACACTCTATAAAATACAAAACAACTATTAATTTTGTAATATTGTTGAAATGTATAAAACTATTTCCAATTTCAATTCTATAAAAGTTCTCATTGGCTATTTTACTTAAAGTTTCCAATTACTGTTTCATGTAATTAAATAAACTAAATTTGCAATTTTTTTCAATATAAAAACCCAATGTTTTTACATAAAAAAGCAATCAAAAATCTGCACAACCTTTTAAAAATGAACTCTAAATTTGGGCGATGAAAATAATATTTTTTTAGTTATTTTAGAAACCAGCACAGTATATAGTAATTAGGATAGTAGGATTATAGAAGTATTATTTCAGCGTTCTTAAATAGTAATACTGATAGACCTATATGGGGCTTGATGAAGTTCAAATCACAATTTATAAATAATATGCGTAGCTAGTGTTTAGTTCAGAAAATAGGATTACAGATGTTTTCTTAGAGAAGTTCATTAATTGTAAAAAAAAAAACAATTTAGATGTGAAAAAAATATCACTTAGAGGGAGTTGAACCCTTAAAACCACTCCAAATACATTGTAAACAAATAAATATATTATCTTATATAAATTCTCATATTAAAATAAGATGTTTATTTTTCAGATTTCATTTAATGCTGCGCCCCCGCCAGCAACCGAAGACGGATCATCATCAAAAACCTGGACTAATCTGAAATATGTAATTTAAATTAGTAAAAATCTCAATAAATTAATCTCTTTACGGCCATCTTATATATTCTATATAAGACAAAACGTACACTAACTTTGTGGTGTTGTTCAAACGTATAAAACTATTCGTCCAGAATTATATTATGATTTTAACAGTACAATTATTATGTGTGCCTTTTAGTTTCTCGGCAAGCACACCTGTGATCGTCCCGCCAAAATGCCCAAATGTGTAACAAAACTTGGAAGCAATATTTCTTCCTATCACTTAAATAAAGGTTCAATAAAAACAAGTGAGTATTTTAAACAATATTTCGGTTTATATTATATATATATATATATATTTTCACTATGGAAAGAGAAAAGAGACTTTACGTTAAAATATCCAATTTGTTATCAGGTAATTGTTGTAGCTGGGATTTTATTCTCAACGGAACTATTTTATATTGAACATTTTAGAAATTAGTAGCATTTTTCTGGTAAAAATGTAATTTTGTCTCTAGTCTACTGTCGAGAATTGATTTTTTTTTACATTTTCTAGGCATCTAAAATATTAAATTTAAAACAATTCAAAATTAATCTAACCCAAAATGAAGTGTGTCGCATGACGAAAATCTTTAATAATTTTCGTAAGGCCCCTTTTTCAACGAGATATATGAGTTCTACTTTTAAATACTTTTAAAATAAAAAAAATAAAAAATGAATACCATTTGTTGTACCCATAGAGCATCTGCATCGTCATAGATTGCACGCGGTCCTTTTTTGAAGGAGTTTTGTATAGGCGATATTTAAGAAAAAACTGGTTTTAATAAATTTCGACCATGTGAATTGGTTTTCTGTTTAGCAATTTGTACATAAGCTTCGGGGAATCAATTTAAATTTTAAATAATAAACCAATTTTAGGAGCCTGGGGAGACCAATTCGCATTTTACGAGGCGGCCGGTCTAAACGCAATAAGCTTGTACAAACGAAAAGAAGATGCTCGCAAATACTTATACGATTCGTTGAAATCTGAAACTTTGGACAAACCAAAAGTGTACACGGCGGGCATTCTTGGCAGTTTTTTCGACGGAAAACCGGAGAACGTGACGAAAAATATAAATACCGTCGTTGAGTTCTTCATAGCAGACTTGGAAAGCGAATTGGCTGAGAAATGTAAAGATTTATAGAAGTTGTACAATAATTATTATTGCGTTTGTTTCGTCCCGTTGAATTTGTAATATTCGTTTTACAAATAAACCATAATATATATTTCAAATTGATGTTTAATTATTTTTCTATATTATATCACGTCCCGTGTTATTTCATTATGTACTAAATCTATAAAAATACATCAATTCATGTACTACTTTCCACATTTTGCAACATTTTTTCCTCGGTTTGCAATACAATAGATTTCTCTTTATTTTCTAAATTATTCATTAAATTGGGTCGTCGCCACCTTTAAATTACTTCTTATGACGATTTTTGTTTAAAGACAAAAAAAAAAACAAAACACTCGAGTCGTTCCATAATTAAATTCATTATTTCAATCATTTTGGTCGCCTGACCTTTTTTATTTTTTAACTAAAAATATAGTTAACTATAACTATATTTTATAATGTTATAAAATGTAGAAAAACACTCTTTCGTGTAGATAAATTGCCTAAACATTTTTCAACCAGGCGCGTTTCGTGTCGAATTCAAGTAATAAAATAATTCTGTAACCGTTCGATTTCAAGATTATAGTAATGATCACAAATATGTATACAGCATACTGGGTACGAGGGGCTTAGTTTGGCTATAGTTCAAACCTGAGCATTATTTGGAATAATATTTTCAACGAATTTCTTCGCCAACAGTCGAAATTTCAGGTTTGGGATAATTTAATTTACCTAAAAAAAAAAAAAAATGTCAGAAAAAACAGAATTTAAAAACTACTCAAGTGACACCTATAGATTCGCGTCAGGGCGAATTGTTTGTAATAAAATCACTTTCAGATGTAGTTATGTATTTCTAATGACTATTTTTTTTTAATTATTAAAACACAATAAACGTGCACGTTATTTTTCTACATTTCATTTATTTCATTAATTTTTACTATTGATTTTTATACCAGCCTCCTACACAGAAAAAATACATATTTAGACCAACTTAAAATATAGTTAACATAGGTACACTATTAATTTCTTGTTGAAAGAACTAAATACATAATTGGCCAAACTCAATGTTTAGAGGAACAACTTTTATTTAGTTATTTCAATAACACATATACTGTACTCCTAATTCCTATAATAACCAAATATTAGTCGGACCAAGTTTTTATCGATAAAGTCCAACTAGAAATGGTATGTAACCATATATTAATAAATTAATTGTAAAAGTTTTAAAATAGGAATCTAAAAATAGAATTATTAAAAAAAAAAAAAATGTCTTATCCTTAATGAATGACTGATTTAAGTTTAACATAAAATAAATTTCATAAATTTTACTGTTTTTTTTTTCAATACTCTCCTACACCAAAAAAAAAAAAATAGTTGGGCCTTCTTAAACTATGGGAAAGTATAGGAACACAATTCATTTCGAGTTAGGAGAATTAAATAAATGACTGGCCCAACTAAATGTTAACAGGAACAACATTTATTTAGTTATTTTAACTTAAAATTCATTTTACCCCTTAACCCTGTAATAAGAAAAGTTACCTAATTATTTAAATTTATAGGTAACACAAGTTACATCTTGTGCCCAATATATTTTGTTATTTGAACGGGTTTCTTTATAAGAAATTTATTCATCAATGATTTTCCGATTTAAAGCTCTGCATAATATGTTTAACATTTTTGACTTTTTTCTTTCGAAAAATTAACAGGAATAATATTTATTTAGTTATTTGAACTAGAAATGTATTGTGATCTTATAATTAACAAATAATTTGATGGAACAACTTTGTAGTTTTAGAAAAAATACTTAATTACTTAAATGTATATTTATAGTTACATGGATATAATGTATATTATATCCAATTAAATTTTTTTCGACATAATAGGATTCAAATTGATTTATTATAAATGTTTAACTAAATGCTACGAAAATAAAAAATACATTATTGGTCTAACACAATACATTTCTAGTTGGAATAACTAAATAAATAATTGGCCCAACTAAAAGTTTACTGCAAATAAATTGTATTTAATAATTTCCACTAGATATTTATCTTAGCTCTATAATAACTAGTTAAACCAAATTTTTATTAAGACAGTCTAACTAAAAATATAATGTGCCCTTATATTAACCTTAGTTTTAGTTGGACCAACATGGTATTTTTGGAAGAGTTACTTAATTACTTATGTGTATAGGTAACACAAGGTACATATTGTGCCAAATATATAAGAAACGTATTCATCAAAGATTTTCTGACTTGAAGCTTTGTTTAATAATACGAGTATATTTAACATTTTGATTTATTTGGTTCGAAAAATATCAGAAATATTTGAAATATTGGACATTAATTTCATACAACGCTAACCCAAATTGTTTTTTGTTATCGAAATTTGTTTTCCGGCAATGGTGTTTTTTAGAAACATGAACAAATAACATTGCCCTTTGCGTCATACTTTAATAAATCTGTTTCTACATAGTTTGAATAACATTTGTTAAATAATGTACATTATATAAATTTAAATGTTATTCGACACATAATGGTTTCCAAAACAATTAGTTGTAAATCATTTTAAAGACTTGGATCCTACCTAAACTTTGGGATAATATAGGCACACGATAAATTTCTAGTTGGAAGAACTAAATAAATAATTGGCCCAAGCCCCAACTATATGTTTGCGGGAAAATGTTGTTATTTAGTTATTTTAACTAAAAGTTCATTGTACCCCTTAATGTGCCTGAAATAACCAGATTTTTGTTGGAACAAGTTTTTATTAAGCCAGTGCAACGAGAAATGTTTTATACCCTTAAATTGCACATAGTCTTAGTTGGACCGACTTTGTATATTTGGAAGATTTACTAATTTACTTAAATGTATTTACTTATTTTGTTTCATACGCGTTACGATGGTCGGTTTGAATAGTGTTGACAAAAAAGAACTCACGGCACGGGAACAGATTATGAGAAGTTATTCTCTGTTTAAACATATAATAATTAATCATAATGATAATTGTGCTGTGATATTTTTTATTTAATAAAAGCACTTATAAAAAAATTGACTACAGACATAAATCAAACATCTCACTTCGTTAATGAGATTGTAGGTGAGATATTTTTGTTTTGCTTATAGCTTACACACACTTCACGTGGTCCTTGGTCATAACCAAGACCAACTAACCGACATTTGGGTGGTTTAGGATATAGTTGGCATAGATCAATCAGTCATAGAGCTGGCACGTCAATAATGCACTGCGTTTTAATTAAATTTTATAATACCTACCGAGCAATTTCGTTGATATTAAAATCATCCGTTGACGTTATAAATTAAGTGTATTTACTAGTAGCATAAAGTAATTACTAGTAATTGGGTAAGTACAAATACAAATACCAATAAAAACATTGTACCTAATGACAATTATATGCTTGAAAATTAATTTTTAGTATTAATGTGAACACGATTAAGGTCTGCCCATAAGTATTTACCGCCATGGTTTCCAAATATATAATTAGCAATATAAAATGGACAATTTTTAATTATCTGTTGACTTTTAATTCACTCACACATAGCAACTTGAAAACTGACTACGGCCATAGTGTATTTTTCAATTTTTTTTGGGTACTCCGAGGACTTTAAATTAATTATTTCGTTTTTATATATTGATTGACAAAAATACTTGTCTTACCTAATAAAACAAGTATACATTTTATACCTGATGATGGTGTAAGTGTATGGGTAAAAAACCAGTACAGTAAGGTCAGAGCATAGTGGGGACGGAGAGGTCACAGGTTTACAGGAATTTTGAAATCTGAAAGTGATAAAATCACTTTCGAAAAAACGCTTCGATGCAAATCGGTAGTTAGTATTTTCAAGCCAGTGCAGTCCAAACCAAGCACAGTATAAACCAGCAAAGTTAGAAAGTTTTAAATTGAGGTTCTGTATTTACAAATAAGCATCAACAGATAATACAAATTGTTTATCTCAGTGGTACTTTTGGTTAAATAAATTATGTTGTAGCAAAACCTTATTGTAAAGGTAAGGTTAAACAATTTAATTTTTATAACATGTTTAAAAAGGTGACTTATAATATCCATTTGGATCTCATCACTTAAAATATATTTCGATTAAAATGTTTTGATTATTTTACCTTGGCGAACTTATGGCCCTAAAATAAAAAATAAAAACATATTAAATATAATATATTTCATTCTATATTGTATATTCGGTAGGAATTCATTACATTAAACAATTTTTAAATTAGCAACATATTTTGTTTTAAAATCTAAACTTATTTTAAAATGAATGATGGGAAACATATTTTTTTCATTTTGAATATGTATTCATTATTTTTTTTTATTATTATATCGGTATTAGTTATTACCAAATTTTTGGTAGCTAATAATGTTCCTTTGAAGTTTTCTAAGCAAAAACAAAAGTGTTTGTCTTTATTTTTATTTGTTAAATTTTAAATAATATCTCAGTTATACTATTTTCATAGTTATTGTCCTATGATGAATTTAAAATAAATGACCATACATGGGGTATATGCTGTGTCTCTACAATAAGGCGGCTATCACAAAAGAGCAGTATAGGCAATGAGCAACCAGCAATCGGTAAGTAATAGTAAGTAATTAACTGGCAATATTATCACTTATTGCCGATTGCTAGTAGCTCATTGGCTACTGCTCTGGTGCGAGAGCCGTCGAAGAGACAATTGGGCAAATAGGACACTATTTTTGGAATTTGGTTCAGGCTTAAACCTGTGGTTGTTAGATTTAATTGATGTTCCTTTTGTATTAAGCAAGTGATAAGGAGTAGGACCATTCCACGGCCAGTGACTGCCGGATGGTCTGACTGAACAGGTTTCTGAATGAGGCATACGACAGAATTTGCCACAATGTAGATATTACTACTTTGATAGGCTCACTTTTAGGCATTGAACTTGGCCTTTTTTTCACGGTTAGCTTTTTGTTGGGCACTTGCTATTTTTTTTTTATACTCAGGTCGTGCCACAACAGTGGTGGTAGATTATTTATATTTTACTGACGAAAATTAACACTAGTATAGAATATAGACTGAGTTCAATGATATTATTAGGATTATTAAATTATTCTGTACTCGAT